GAAGATTAAAAAATAGCAAGTCTTAAAAAAGGAATTCTGGCTAGATAATGTATCTCTGTGATCCATGAATCAGGATAATTTGGAGTCATATTTTATGGATCAATTTTCTGGTTAACCCTTCATTCTACATACATTTATTTGCATCGCTTGTAAAATCATTCACAAATCTATTAGTTTAATTTCTTCAGTGGAGTATAACAGATCTATTTATTCTTTTTAAAAATTGTATTTTATTGATTATGCTATTACAGTTGTCCTGAATTTTCCCCTTTTGTCCCCCTCCACCCAGCATCCCCCATTTCTTCAGGCAATCCCTCCACCATTGTTCATGTCCATGGGTCATGTGTATAAGTTCTTTGGCAACCCCATTTCCTATAGTGTACTTTACATTCCATGGCTATTTTGTAACTACCTATTTGTGTTTGCTTTTCTTTTTAAATTAGGGATTTTTTAAAAATATTTTATTTATTTATTTTTAGAGAGAGGGAGGGAGGGAGAAAGAAAGGGAGAGAAACATCAGTGTGTGGTTGCATCTTGTGCAACCCCTACCAGGGACCAGACCTGCAACCCAGGCATGTGCCCTGACTGGGAATTGAACTGGCGACCCTTTGGTTCACAGACTGGCACTCAGTCCACTGAGCCACACCAGCCAGGGATGTAACTATCTATTTGTACTTCTTAATTCTCCCACCTCTTTACCCATTCCCTTATACCCCCCACCCACCTGGCTACCATCAAAATGCTCTCCATATCCGTGATTCTGTCTCTGTTATTCTTGTTTGCTTAGTTTGTTTTTTAGACTCAGTTGTTGAAAGATATGTATTTTTGCCATTTTATTGTTCATAGTTTTGATCTACTTTTTCTTAAATAAGTCCCTTTAACATTTCATATAATAATGGTTTGGTGATGATGAACTGCTTTAGTTTTCTCTTTTCTGGGAAGCTCTTTATCTGCCCTTTGATTCTAAATGATAGCTTTGCTAGGTAGAGCACTCTTGGTTATAGGTTCCTGCTTTTTATGACTGAATATTTCTTGCCAATCCCTTTTGGCCTGCAAAGTCTCATTTGAGAAATCAGCTTATGGGAACTCCCCTGTAGTTAACTAACTTCTTTTCTCTTGCTGCTTTTAAGATTCTCTCTTTATCTTTAATCTTTGGCATTTTAATTATGATGTGTCTTGGAGTGGGCCTTTCTGCATCCATCTTGTTTAAGACTCTCTGTACTTCCTAGACTTGCATGTCTATATCCTTCACCAAATTAGAGTTTTCTTTCATTTTTTTTTCAAATAGCTTTCCAATTTCTTGCTCTTTCTCTTCTCCTTCTGGCACTCCTGTGATACAAATGTTGGTGCATTTGAAGTTGTTCCAGACGTTCTTTATACTATCCTCACTTTTTTGGATTCTTTTATCTTTTTGTTTTTCTGATTGGTTGTTTTTTGGTTCCTTATGTTTCAAATCATTGATTTGATTCTTGGCTTCATCCACTCTACTGTTTATTCCCTGGAAAGTGTTCTTTATTTCAATTAATGTATCCTTCATATCTGACTGGACATTTTTTATGTTGTTGAGGTCCTCATAAGTTCCTTGAGCATCCTTAAAACCAGTGTTTTGAACTCTGCATCTGAAAGATTGTTTACTACATTTTTTTGAGTTCTTTTTCGGGAGTTTTGTTCTATTCTTTCTTTTGGGCCATGCTTCTTTTTCTCCTCATTTTGGTAGCCTCTCTGGGTTTGTTTCCATGTATTAGGTAGAGCTGCTATGACTCACTGTGTTGGCAGTAAGTATCCTGTATGGTCCAGTAGAGTAGCCTCCTCTATCACCCAAAGTGGTTACTGGAAGTGCACCTTCCATGTGGGCTGAGTACACCTTCCTCTTGTAGTTGAGCCTTGAGTGCTGTTGGCAGGTTAATGGGAGGGATTGCCCAGACCGTTCAGCTGCAAGGACTGGCTGTGGCCACTGACCACCAATATCTGCCTTCTGTGGAGGATCAGCTGTTCAGGGGCCCACTCCACAGAGGAAGGCTTACTTCAGCAGCACTCTGGTGCCCCCTTGTGTTTTATCTGGGGCCACTTGGCATAAGCAATAAGGCAATTAGCTGCTGGCAGCTTCTTGTGCTGGGTTTATATGTGCCCTATGGAGGCCAGGCTATGAACCAAGGCCAGTTACTGCTAGTAAGAGGCCTGGGGCCACTTAGCAAGGTCCAGGGGCTCACTCAGGCCATGTGCTGCTTGTTTGAAAGGAATTTGGAAGATCAGAGGCATGTTTCAAAACAAATCACTCATATGGAAAAGCTTGGATGGGCCAGTAAGTTGGTCGGGGCAGAGTCTCAGGGAATCACCAGGGTGGGTCAAACAGTGTGAGCCACGTTGATGGACCCTCAAATATGTTGTCCTCTGCACTTTGTCGTTTGGTATAGGGAGGGCTCAGAAGAGGAGCAATGATCTCTTCCAATAGTTGTCTCTTGGAGAAACTATCACCCTCATGCCAAATATTTCAGTTCCTCCCTGTATATGTCCCTGGTGTTTTTCAAGCTGCTGCCCCAGTGCTGGAGCTCAGCAGGAGTGAGTCTGAGTAGGTTCATGTAGGCTCTTTAAGAGGAACTGCCTGAGAATCCAGAAGTTTCTTCCACCAACTCAGTCTCCACTGGTTTTTGCAAGCAGAAGCCATGGGGACTTATCTTCCTGCCACTGGAACCCTGGGCTGGAGGGTCTGGTGTGGGCGTGGGAACTCTTGCTCCCAAGATATCCCTCCCAATTTTTAACTGTTACACATGGGTGTAGAACGTCTCCATTCCATGTCTCCACATCGCTGCATCTGTCCCTCATACCAGTCTGGATAGATGCGGTTTCTTATTTAATTCTGTAGTTGCAGGACTTCCATTCAAGTCCATTTCTGCTAGTTCTGAGTGACAGTTGTTCTATAGTTCAGTTATAATTTTGATGTGGTTGTGTGAGGAGGTGAACTGTGTTTACCTAGGCCACCATCTTGGAGGTTTAGCTCTTATATCATTCTTTATTAGTTTCAATCTGGAGAAATTTCACACTATGGCAGTAGCATCCAAGCACCTAGTAAATTGTAAGCATTAAAATTCAAACCTCTGTATGCAGTCTGCTTCCAGGGTCCAAGCAGTTAAAATTGAGCAAAGCAAGGACAATGGTCCAGATACAGAAGGTCACCAGGGCAGGAAAGCAAAATTGGGGAAACAAAGATCTTGCACCCAGAATAACATTTCCTCCCCTAGAAAATCCACCGGTCATGCCTATTTATTCTTTAGGGTCATGAATTTTAAGTAAATCTTTAGTACTAATATAAAAAAAATCAATTGTCATTGCAAAACAGATTGATAATCATATTTAATAACTAACCATTATCATAACTATTCTTCAAAACTTTGTCTTTAACACACCCATATAATTGTTAAAGAAATTAATAAATCCAACTGACACAAATATTTTTCCATTTGAAGTTATAACTTATAAATTATAATTTATAAATTATAATTTATAAATTATAACTTATAAATTATAACTTATAAAATTTAAAAATTATAGTTTTTACAATTTATTAACTATTTTTTCAACAAATACAAATAACTCTGAATGAAGCAAAACACTAGATATTGTGTTATATGTGAAAAAGACTAACATGACCTAATGAGCTAATGGGGAAGAGAAATCTTACATTTGTACACTATAGATGTTATCTTTAGACAGTAGAAAACCACACAAAAGATATTTCCTGGGGAGCTACTGGGTTTGTTTCTTAAATATATCATTACAATATTTAATAATGTGTGTAGGGCACAAGAACAGGTTGCAGAAAATGTAGAAGCAGTTTCTGAGACAATGTAACATTACACGCAAGGAAATGAAAACTTTTGACGAGGATTATGACAGTGGTAGAGAGAGAAAGGGAGAAAGATTTTCTACAAGAACTGGCAGTTTATTGAATATAAAAAAATAAAGGTAAGGGAAAATTCAAAGATGAAACCCTGGTTATGGCGTAAGCAATTGAGTGGATGTTTGGGCCATTTTCTGTTACAGAATACACTAGAATAAGGGCAGGTTCTTGGGTGAGTTATAATTTAATTTTTGGACGTTTTGTCAAAGCTTTAAAAAATTCAAGAGGAACTATTGAGTAATAATAAAAATGGTCTAGGTCAGAGTCATTGACACATAAATGGTCATTTAAACCACAAGAGGTATAAAATAACTGGCAAGGAGAGAATATTTGAGAGTACAATCTCTGACAACAGTCAAGTGGAAAATGAATAGTAGGCCAAAGAAGTTTTTGAGAAAAAGCAAAGAACTCAGAGAATAGCGTCAAAAGAGACAGCATAGGGAAACGATCAACTTTAAAATAAGAAACATGGCAAATAGAATCAAATGTTGCAAAAGTAAGTTAAACAGAGACAGATAAATGTCAGTTGAATTTACTGACATGAAGCTTACTGAGAACCTAATGGAAGTCATTTTGGGGAAGTGATGCAAGAAGTTTGCAATTGCTAATAAAGTTTTGGGGAAAGGCTCTCACAATCTGACAAGATGATTGGTTATGGAAGGAAGATTAAAGTTAAGACCACGTCTAGGGATGGAGTAATTGCTGATAAAGAAGGCACTGTTTAGCTAATAAGAAAGAGACTTTAGCATAATAACATGCATTTAGATGATTAAATACACAGGGAATTAATGATATAGGCGAGTGGATCTTTAATAACAAAAGGAATATAAAGAGGAATATTGACTTTAGATTGATTCATGAATCTCCAGTCATAACTGAGGTGAACTTATTTTTCTACCACAAGAGTTTTACAAATCAATACTCCCCTTGGATTTTAATGCCATGAGTCTTGATGAAATTTTAAATTACTCCAGGAATTATTGAATTTGCTAAGGAGAAACATTAAAACAATTGTTTGTATTTATTCATCATATTTATTTCTTGTAAGCTTTTACTACTAATTAACCAAATAACTTTTTGTTTCCTCTTATGTTTTTTCTAGGAAAATTCCATTCTTCTTTTATAATATCATTAAAGAGCTATTTGGAACAGAGTCAAGCTGCTCAGTTATATAAAAGAAAGAATGGCATATTGTTGGAAAACAGATCTAAATCCCAGGGAATCACATGAAGATCAGCATGAGCACCAAGAATTGCATTCCATAAATCAACCCATTTTTCCTGGCCAAGTCAGTCTGGGTTTTGATCAGCTAGTAGAAGAAATCAATAATAAAATTCCACTCTATCAGAGTGAAATTGAAGAAAACACTGTTTTTGTGCCCAGTTCACCAAACTGGGACTCCAAAAAGCATTCATCAGATGGAACACAGCAAACAGCTACAAATGAATTTAATTCTAAAAGCTCAGAACCCTCTTGTCACCAAGTTAGGGAAACAGCAGTAATTGGTTTTAGGCCTTCTGTGCTACCAAATCCTCAAAACATGAATAAAGAAAGCTCTTGGGGAAACTCCGTAGGAAAGCATCATGGTGCTGATGATTACAGATGCAATATTTCAGCTCCACCATCCACTAGTTTGCATAAAATTAATTCACAAAAAGAATTGGAAAATAAAAATCATAACTACCATAAAAGATTTGAAAGTAGCACTCCTTCTATATATCCATCCTTCTCAACTGACTTCATGCCAAAAGAAGGGAATAAAAGGAATAGAAGGACAAATGTTGTGGAACCCCCTTTCCGGCTCTTTAAAGGTTCCTCCCCTCCCAGGTTGTGGGAAAGTTCGTGGCCAAAGAACATAGAGGTATGTGTCAGATATGTCAGATATGTGACAAATAGAAATATGTTAAAAATATAAATATGAATCATTTAATAATATTCTGGATTAATTTAGTGATGAGGGTAACTACTTTAAATAAAGAAATGCATTAGTATTATATTTGAAAACAATCATTTATTATTCACTAATTCTATATTCCTGAATTAATGATTTTTTCTGAGAAGAGGGAAATAAAATTTTTATAACTTAATTTTTAAAGTTCCTTTTCATCAAACATAAATAAAATGTTACAGTATTTACCTTTTATTAGATAAAAATATCACAGTTGGAGGTTTCAATGATAGTATTTTCTACCATCTTGTGTTTTTATGCATACACAGAAACACATAAATTTCATTACATTTAGATTCTGAGTCACATTATCATGAATTAAAACTTTTGATTATTATTAGTAGGAGAAATATCCCTTTACTCACAGGCTCCTAAATTATACTGTTGGCAGGCAGGCTCCATTGGGATCATTCCAAGGGTAGGAAATTAAGTAATCAATGTGTAATTCATCCTAGTGGTTTCATTAGTAGTTTCCCAATCATTTTACTAACTATAGATTTTCTTGTATAATATTTGAACTTTTCTCTGCTTTTGCTGAGTGTTGACACAAGTGAAATGAAGTAAATAGAACAGAGAAAAAATATTATTGCAGCTGTAATTTACAGGATGAGGTAAAATGATTCTCCATTTATTCAACAATTTACTGTATTCTTAAAATGTTCATGATAAATAAGGAATAACAAATGCAAAGAAGAAAATACATGATACCTGATTTCAGGATAGGATATTACTCAAATTAATTTGCAAGCAAAGAAAGGTAAGAGCAAAATAACAGAAAGGGTGAATTCACAGGAAAAAAACCCCAGCTAATTCTGTCTGAGACACTTGCAGAAGGAGGTAGCACCTCAACTGATTTGAACTGAAAGTCAATGAATTTTAGGAACATCTACTATTGATCATGACAATATAACAAGTACTAAACTTTCCTTCACAACTGAAAACAACTATAAAGTTAGACAAAATACATGAAGCAAATGATTTCAGGCAGTGAACATAAGCAGTATAGGATATCAATCATTGAGGGAAGGGAAAGTATTGAATGATCAAAAAGGCAGGGAAGAAATGGAAGGACAAAATAAAATAGAAGAAACAAATATCATCATGGTCATCTTAAATCCAAAAATATCCATAAGTGTTCTAAATATGAGTAAGGTAAGCATTCCAAATAAAAGGGAGAAATCATCAAACTAATATAAAGACTTTACTACTCTGTACAAAAGACAAACTCAAGAAACACAGGGACAAACAGGTTGAAAGTAAAAGAAATAAAAAGACTCAACCAGCAAAAGAAAGTTGATGTAGTTATTAATATTAGAAACATACAGTTCAATGAAGAATATTATTAAAGAAAGTGCCATTTCATAATAATAGAAGGGTCAATCAGAAAGATAATAAATTCAGATGTACATGTACCTAATCATAGATTCAAAACACATAAAACAAAAATGATTTCCTTTAAAGTTAATCATGCACTCACCCTCTGAATTAGCCATTTATGGATTCATTCACAAAAAATAAGACACATGTCCATACAAATATTTGCATATAAAAAATTTATAGTTTACAGTACCACAAAACAACCCACATGTCTGACAAGATGATAGATAAACATATTGTGGAATATTCATGCACTAATATACTACTAACCAACAATAAAAAAGATGAACTATTGATATGTGTGATAACATAAATAAATTTAAAAATAAATGTCATTTAATTGAAAGAAGCCAGAAACAAAACAAAACAAAAAAAACACCTAATCTATGGTGCTAGAACTCTGAATAACTGTAGTTAACAAATAAATTGTACAGATTGACAAAAGAAGTGGGGGAACTTTCTAAACTGATGAAAATATTCCATATTTTGATTGGAATATTGATACAGCTGCTGTATACCTTTCTCAAAGTTTAAATTATATATTTAAATTTAAGCAATTTTATATATGTATTGCTTCATTAAAAATCTAGAAAAATAAAAACAGAATACACCTTTAAAACCAATAAAAACTATGGAACTGAATTCATCTTTTTACCACACCAAACTAAATTAATTTTAAAAATTTTATTTTAAGCCCATAGATTGTTCAATTCAACTAATTGAAGTACCTCAAGGCAGTAGTGTAAGTCTGGCCTCCTTTTGCGACAAAGTAAAAAAGTAAGTGTTGTTATTTTATTAAATTTTGAAATTTATGTACCTGTATAAATTTGTCTATTTTAACATTATTGAACTGATTAATTTGGCATATAAAATGTCTATAATCTTTAACAGTGAAAAGTATAAATTTGTGAAAAATTTGTCCATTAATCAAACTCTGATATTGTTTTCTTTGCTTCTAGTCAAATATTTTTTTCTTTTGCAAATGTAATTAAAGTTGAGTGTTTCATAATTTCAGGCTTGCCTTTGCTATTTGTTGGTAGTTTAAGTTGCAGTGAATTAATTTCTTATTTAATGACGTGACTGACTGACTCATATGGCTCTGTCCCAAATTAGCATAGATTTATCCTTCTTAGCTGGGATATACTATTTAGAATGATGAGAGTGCCTTTCTTTTTTTTTCCAATACTACACAGTTTATAGATTAATAAAGATGTTTTTAAATTTTAAATAATTTTTAATTTTTATTATTTCACAATTGTCCCAAAATTTTCCCCCTTTTCCCTCCTCTGCCTACCCCACCCCCACCCCCTCCCACAGTCAATTCCCACACCGTTGTCCACGTCCATGGGTCATTCATACATATTCTTTGTCTGGTTACTTCCCCTTCTTTCCACCATTATCCCCTTCCCCTCTGGATACATTCAGTCTGTTTCATGTTTCCATGCCTGTGGTTCTATTTCACTTGTTAATTTATTTTGTTCATTAGATTCCTCTTACAGCTGAGACCACATGGTATTTGTCTTTCACTGACTAGCATATTTCACCTAGCATAGTATTCTCCAGTTCCATCCATGCTGTTGCAGAAGGTAGGAGCTCCTTCCTTCTTTTTGCTGTGTAGTATTCCTTTGTGTAAATGTACCACAGTTTTTTGTTCCACTCATCTACTGGTGGACACTTAAGCTGTTTCCAGTACTTGGCTATTGTAAATAACACTGCTCTGAACATAGGGGTGCATAAATTCTTTTGAATTGATGATTCAGAATTGTTAGGGAATAGTCCCAGCTATGAGATCACTGGGTCAAAAGACCATTCCATTTTTAGCTTTTCAAGGAAATTCCATACTGTTTTTTGTAGAGACTTGGGTTTATTTCTGGATTTTCTCTTCTGTTCCATTGATCTATGCGTCTGTTCTTAGGCCAGGACCAGACTAGACTGCTTTGATTTCTGTGGTCTTTTAGTATAGTTTGATATCAGGTATTGTGAGCCCTCCTACTTTCTTTTTCTTTCTCAAGATTTCTGAGGCTATTTTGGATCTTTTTTGGTTCTATATAAAATTTGGCCAAATTTGACATATCTGTTTTAGATCTATGATATATGCCATTGGTGTTTCAATAGGAATTGCATTGAATCTATAGATTGCTTTGGGTAGTGTAAACATTTTAATGATGTTAATTCTTACAACCATGAATAAGGTATATGCTTCCAGTTAGTTCTATCTTTCTTAATTTCTTTCTTCAGTGTTCTATGGTTTTCTGAGTACAGATCTTTTACTTCCTTGGTTAAATTTATTCCTAGGTGTCTTAGTTTTCTTGCTACTATAGCAAATGGGATTTTTTCCTAGTTTCTCTTTCTGACATTTCACTGTTGCTGTACAAAAATGCCATCAATTTCTGAATGTTGACTCTGTACGCCACTATTTTGCCAGATTCACTTATTAGGTCAAGTACTATTTTATTGGAGACCATGGGGTTTTCTATGTATACAATCAAGTCATCTGCAAACAATGTCAGTTTTACTTTCTCCTTCCCAATTTTATTTTATTTCTTTTTCTTGTCCAGTTGCTGTGGCTAGAATTTCCAGTGCTCTGTTGAGTAAGAGTGTTGAAAGCAGACACCCCTGTCTTGTTCCTGATCTTAAGGGGAAAGCTTTTAATTTTTGCCTGTTGTGTATAACATTCACTGCAGTTTTCTCGTATATGGCTTTTATTATGTTGAAGTATGATCTTTCTGTTCCCATTTTGCTGAGTGTTTTTATCATAAATGGGTGCTGGGTTTTATCAAATGCTTTTTCAGCATCTATTGATATGATCATGGGATTTTTGTCCTTCATTTTGTTTATGTGGTATACTATATTTATTGATTTGTGAGTATTGTACCATCCTTGCAACCCTAGAATGAATCCAACTCGATCATGATGCATGATCTTTTTAATGTATTTCTGCATCCCGATTGCCAGTATTTTCTTGAGGATTTTAGCGTCTATGTTCATCAGAGATATTGGCCTGTAGTTTTCTTTCTTTGTTGTGTCTTTACCTGGTTTTGATATTAGGATGATACTGGCCTCATAAAACCAGTTTGGGAGTCTTCTTGAATTTTTTGGAATAGTTTGAAAAGGATAAGAGTTTGTTCTTCCTTATATATTTGGTATAATTCAACTGTGAAGCCATCTGGTCCAGGGCTTTTGTGTGCCAGGAGTTTTTTGATTACTGCTTCCATTTCACTAGTTGTTTTCAGTCTATTCAGGCTTTCTGCTTCTTCTTGATTCAGTTTGGGAAAATTGTATGTTTCTAGAAATTTGTCCATTTCACCCAGGTTGTCCAGTTTCTTGGCATATAATTATTTATAATAATTTCTTACAGTCCTTTGTATTTCTGTGGTATCAGTTGTAACTTCTCCTGTTTCTGATTTTATTTATTTGGGTCCTCTCTCATTTTTTCTTGATGAGTCTGGTTAAAGTTTTATCAATTTTGTTTATCTTTTCAAAGAACCAGTTCCTGGTTTTATTGATCCTTTGAATTGTTCTTTTAGTCTCTATATCATTTGATTCTGCCCTGATCTATTAATTTCTATCCTTCTAGTTGCTCTGGGCTTTGTTTGTTGTTGTTCCTCTTGTTCTTGTGAGGGAGGGAAAATGTAAGAGTAAGGAATAGAAACGAGGTGAAAAATGGGAGAAAATAAAATTTAAAACATAAGTAAAATAGGGAAAGGCAATGGTAAAGTGGAGCCAGAAAAGGGAAGAACATAATATGAGGTTTGAAATAAAAGTCAAAAAGTAGTGAAACAACAGGAACAAAATTTCAGAAAAACCACAACAGGGTCTATAACAATGACAGCTGAACAAACATGAATAAAAGCAGAAACGAAATAACAATCTTATACAAAAGAAAAAAAGAGAATATGAGATGTCCACAGTAAAGAAAATGATTTTGAAAGGATAGGGTGAGGAGAAATAATAAGAGTAAGGAATAGAATCCAGACTAAGAAAGGGGAAAAATAAAATTGCAAACTCACATAAGAAAGGGCAGGAGGAGGGCTAAATAGAGTAAAACAGGGGGTGAGTAACCTATGAAATTTGAAATTAAAAAAACAGTGAAGAAATAGGAATAAAATTAAGAATACCAATAACCATAATATCCACACCAAGCAAGCCACAATTTATAATGGTGGAAAGAAAATAAGAATATTATAAGAAGGAGAATATGAATGCAACCTCACTAAAGGAAGGAAAAATGCTTTTGAGAGATTGGAGGAACGAGAAATAGAAAAAGAGTAAAAAATAGGAACAAGGTAGTGTGGCGGAAAAATAAAATTAACAATGAAAATAAGAAAGGGCAGGAAGAAGGCAAAATGGAATAAGACAATGGAAAGGTGCAATGTGAGGTTTGAAATAACAATGAAATAAAAATAATATAAATCTAAATAAAAGAATAAAAAATAAAAGACAAATAATATGAACTAGTTGGGATACAATTGAAGCAAAAGAGGAAATATTAAAAGGCTGTTACCGAACAAAAGGACCCGTGGTGGGGGGTTCCCAGATAGCTATTACCAAAATAATGACACCCTCCTTCCCTGAGACCCCTCGGTTGTGGGTTCTTTGCCCGCCGCCATTGGAATTATGCCTCTGAATGGCAGACTTTGGTGAAAAGGAAAAGGAACTATTTATTCAGAAGTTATACAGGTTTGATTAATGGCTAAATGTCACCCTTAAACCTCAAAATCCCTTCAAAACAATCACCAGCACACACACCGTCCCGCCTTCCCCGCTTTTGCCCAGTTAGGCCAGTCAGGCCGGTCAGGGGTACCTGTCCTTCAGAAGAAAAAGAACAGAAGTCCGGGGCTAGGCAGGCCTCTTGCGGTTCTCAGCACCATCCGCTGCATCGCCGCGATCTCCAGCTCTTAATCCATAACCATGTGGCACCTTCTCCTGGCCCGCTAGCAAGAGTCCTTTCTCCCCTCTTTCTTCCCACGTGGTCTTCACACTGTTTCCCAGAGTCTGTGTCCCTGTCTCTCCTGCAGACCCCTGTCTCTTTTCTTTCTCTCCCAGTTACATTCTGTATAAAGTCTTTTAAACCTTCCTGAGTAGCTTTGGTGATATGCAAAATAACCCTCTTTGCATATGAGGAATAAAGCTATCCTGTTATTGACATGCAAAATGACTCTCAATGGCCCTGCTCAAGGCTCCCATCCCCCATGGCGGCTTGCCCTGGGGTGGGGAGAATATATTTTTCTTGGACACCCCAATCTCTGGACCCCATTACAAAATACATTGTTGTGGGAGTAATAGGGCCTGGCTGTACCCCATTGCAAGGCTACGTGAAAGAAAAAAATAACGCAAATTCTGAAGAACACAGTGGAATTTACCTCAGCAGAGTTTGGTGTTTGCCTTCTGTCTTCTCTTTCCGGATCCACCTTTGTCTTTTTATCAGCTCAAGGTCGGAGGTAGGTCATCCAACTTCTGGCAGCACTGCCTGTGTTACCTTCACCTGCCCCTAGAGGGGCCATCTGTGATAATTAGGATGGTAGGACCCCTGGGTCTTACCTGGGGGCCACTGTTCAGTCTTCTGGAAAAATTGTGGGTGTACTCCCTGTGCTCCTGCACCACCAGTCTTGGTCTGTCCCAGCTTATTTCCAATAATGTATAGGTTCTGATGAATTAGCTGTCTGTTTCAACAGAGGAACCAATCTGTGTAACAGGGTCAGCTCTTTCTTGCTTGGTGCTAATGGCAGCTCTGTGTGCAAGCTAAGGCTTGGCAGGGCCCTGATTCTCTGTTGCTGCACTGATTTCTGACCTCCCTGGTTTGCTGGCCTCCGTGAAATAAGGCCCAAAGAACCAGGGCATTTTGTCTCCATGAGAGCAGTTCAAAAATGGGCGCTTTATATATTTCTCTTCCCTCCTCTCTCTTATGGATATGCATCCCACAGGGGGTTCTTGAGGCTGCCTGTTTTGCAGAGCTTCCTTGGTGGTGGTGCTTGCAGATGATCCTGCAGGAGGTAGGGGCTGGATGTGTCCTTCCTTTCCTGGAGGTTTGATCTCCCACCAGGGAAAGGGGCTCTGTCTGGGTGTAAATAATCTCAAGTGCTCAAATCTCAATTCCTAGCCCACTGCCCTCGTAGTAAACCGAGACCCAAACTCTCTACTCTGCACAGCCTCTGCCCTGCCAGCTGCTCCGGGCTGGGCCAAGACATCCCCTGGCTGTGCACCTTTCTGATCTCTCTACCCAGCCGCACTCAGTGGAAGCAAACTACACCCTCAATCCTTTACCCTTGCGGGCAGGGCAGCTGCTCACAGGATCCCTGTGTAGCTCGCCTCAGCTCCTTTTTAAAAAAGTCTCTCCAGGCACTCCCACTGAAGCACCAAGTCACTCTCTAGCTTTTCCTTAGTCAGCCCATGTTTGACTCAGGTAACTGAAACAGAGAAAGCAAAACCGTGGTTACGTGAGGACTACTATAGCTATAAATATCCTCAGTTGTGCAAAGAAACTAGTCAAATAACTTGCCTCTAACTATAAAAGGACTAAATGGAAGAGCCAGGATTAAACTCAAGGCTTCTGACTCCAAGGAGAAACTATTTTGCAATCCTCTAGCTCATTTCAGCAAAAAAAAATAATTGTTCCAAATGTATAAATTGAGTTTTGAGCTCATTTTTTTAATGTAAACTCCAAAGATGTGTAAAATCCAAAATGTTAAGGAAAATGGACAGCCAAAATGGTATTTACCAAACTGACAAAATTTATTTACCAAAATTCTCACACTAAGATGAATGACCCATTCACCTTCAAAAATTTAGGCCTGAACAAAAACTAAGGGGAAGAGACCGGGCTGCCAAAGCAATGTCAATAAAGCAAGTAATCATTGTACAGAGTGATTTTTATGTTGTATGAATGACAATGTATTCTTAATTGTTTCAAATGCGGTGCTCCTTGACAAGCTTAAAGAACAGTCCTTTACAGTTGTTTTTGGTGGTGTAATCTTTACCAGCCTGGCCTACCTGAGAGCACGGTGCCACAAACGAGCTGCTGACTGTTTTCACATTTTAAATCTTCTGTAGCAAATCCGGCATGCAGTTTCTTATAATCTTGTCCTAAGTATTATTCTCACATATATTTTTCAGAATCAGAGAATCATACCATGCAGCTGACATTAGTTCCAACTCGGGGAAGATCTGGAGCACGACTACAGCGTTTCCATATCAACTCTATTCTAATACTAAGTTTAGTATCAATATTTTGATTGATAACTCAACACAACTTCATTTTATGCCACATGGTAAGCAACCTTGCAAATAAACATAAAAATCTACATAGAGCTGGTACAGGCTGCATTGCCTTGAGTCCACTGATGAAAATTTTAAAAGTAGTATTAGTAGCTCATATTGCCCTGAAGTGAAAAGAAAAACAGCAGGAAACATTTTAACATTCATTTAGCTATTGTTTTGAAGAACTCTTCACATAGCTCAACCGAGGACACCTTATTTTCTTGCTATAAAATAATGACAAGTATACAAAGCTTTTAGTATATTAAAAACAAAGAACAAATTTCAAAGATTCTAGATAAAGACTGTATATATAAATGAAAATGCATTAGAAACAACTATTTCATTAAAATATAAATAAATTGTGAGGTAGAATAGGCATTGATACATAGAACTATGTTAGTGCTGTATAGTCCAGCATAATCACTGAATCTAATTGACTCAAAGTCTCTGGGAATGGATCCCAGGGATCTGTATTTCATTAAATTTACTAGATAATTCTTATTTCTCTAAAGTTTTAGACTGTCCTTAAAGTTGTTTAATATTTTATTTCATAGTTATAGTCAACTGTTTTCCAAAATAATATTAGTTTTTTTGAACAAAATTTAGTGGCTCCTAAATAAGTTTCTACATATCAACTATTGATTCTTGACAAATAATGACCCAGTAAATATTTTCTCATTGATTATTATTATTATTATTTTGCTATTTTATTATCCTAGTCCAAGCTCTCAGTACAGGTGAGTACAAATATAGTAATATGTTGGAATTTTAATAGGACCGTCTGGTTGGAAACTAACAAAAACCAACTCTTGCTGGCTTAGGCAGAAAAAAAGTTAACATTTTAAAATAATATAGGGGCTTCTTACACAATTTAAAAATTGGGATTCAGCAAAAATTTGGGGATATACTTAAGGCACAGATAAACAAGAATGTCCAAAATTACTTTATGCTTCTCGCCACATCTCCTCTCTGCATAATTGCTTCTCACGTTTCTTTTGCGTTCTGCTGACTCATTTCCCTTGCTTTTCCAGAACATATGAAAAGCCAACGTCTCAAATTTAAATGCAATTTGGCCAGTTACCTAAAGAAATTTCAATTTCTCTGTTGGATCTAATTCCAAATTTCTAAAAGCAGGATTCTGATTGCACAGCCAAGATCAATTGTTCTGCCACTTGATCCAGTCTGAATGGCTTGGGTCATGTTGGCTTCAGTTGCTGCACAAGAGAAAGTAATTGTGAACTAGGGAAACCACTTCTGTTCTTCCAATTTACAATATTTACTTTCCAACATCTCTCTCCCACTCTCCAGATATTCCTCTGTTGAATTTGGCAAGCCAGAGTCTGTTTTTTTTTTTTTTTTACTTTTATGAGAAGTTACAATAAACTGCTTAGGTCATTGTGTTTAGTGTTAGAGATGCAGAGTGGTAAAGAGGATGTCTCCATCTTCAAAGATATTAAAAGTATCTGTAAGGGGAAGAAGTGGGAGGAAAGGATGAAGTAGAGAGGAAGGATGAAGAATTAGAGGAGAAAGAACACTTTCATTAAAACATACAGAGTAGCATATACCAGTGTTGGAAGGAAAATTTTTCCTCTTCCTATTTATATTTGAAGGGACGCTGGTGCTGTGATTTAGTTGACAGTAGACAAATTAACAAGTCTTTTTACACATGCACAGAAGCTCCTCAGTAATAAGATACCCGCTAAATACCCAGAGGTAGAAGTTTTTACACCAACTTAATATAGAAGTGTGTGGGGGGGGGGTACATTTTGTGGAGGTGCTTTAGAGCTTTAATAGAACAGAATGGAGAGTTATGTTGTTTTTTTCATGCTTATGGTAGGCATTCTGTCTCCTTCCTAGAATTTGCAGAAAACTAGCTCAGAACAAAGAATGATGGCTGTATTTTCGGGAGTCTCTGTTTTAGTCAGATAAACCGAGGTCAAATAATTTTCAAGTGTTTTCACTTTAAAATAATCTTGGTGCCAAAACTCTGTGGGAGAGGAAGAAAATTTCCTCTACACATGTAGTTTCTTTTGGCTGGTCTAATAATTAAATCAATGTGAAAAGATTAAGAACAGAAGGTGACTGAATTTAATGACATTCATACATATGAGACTCCCAAACACATGAGAGAGTCAAAGACCCCACATACATGATAGTTTCAGAGACAGAAAGTTAAAAAGAAGTATATATGATACTCTGAGCTAAGGGTGAGGTAAGGCACATTGGGGCTTCAGAAGAGAGGAAAGTCATTCATAGGACAATAAAACAAGCAGAGGATCAGTAAATATATGCTTGCTCTGCCCCATACCTAGGTAATTAAAAGTTATATCTGGTCCAAATTTAACTGTTAGTATGGACAAGGCCCAAATTGAAATTCTTTAAGAAATAAAAGTTTCTCATGACCCCACGTTTGATTACCTTCAGCTCAAAATAATTCATGTCCGAAACTGGCACATCTTGGAGACAACTGTTCTGAACCCTTCAGCTGTATCCTTTCACAACTTTATATTAGTATTTGACTAGTAATATAAAGAGATTCTACAGAGAACAAAATCTGAATAGTGTGCTGTCAACATAAGACCATCCAAACATGTAGAGAATTTTTATGAGTTTATTTCAACCAAACTGATGACAATTGCAGGGAAGCAAGCATCTCAACGGATTGAGAAAATGCTCCTGAGAATGGCAGTTTTGCAGCTTATTTTATACATTAGAATCAAAGCAGAAGACATTAAAAAAGTTGCATTAAATCCACTGATGATAGATTAAGGGGGCAGGAGAAAGCAAAGCAGGGAAAACTCTGAGATTAGATACATAATAAATGGAGAGACTTGTACTTCTTTTACATTGACAGGTACAGGGTAATTAATAATTAACATTTACAGCACATAAAGATGGTATTCGGGGAACAAGGCTGCAACGAGGGGTTCTGTGGTCTCTCTCTGGTGTGGTGGGTGTGCCCTGAGGGATCTGAAAAGGAGATTACACTGATATTTTAAAGATATGTTAGTTTAGATGCAAAAAGACAATAGGTCCATTTAAGGTAAAGGTTGATCATTGTTAAGGAGGCTACAGGCCTAGGGCATGACTGCCCACTATGACCTACTTTTACTTAAGAATTTTTATGTTCAGACCATTCTATGTGGTCTGAGCTTTTTACCCCTGAGCTTGCTGGCCTCCCCTGAGTGCGTCAGGTTTAGTATGTGGCCCCTTTCTGTCCACAGTATCAAGAATGACTTTGATAAAAGATGGGAGCTTTTGCTAGAAACTTAAAGAATAATAAAATTTAGATAGAAAAGAGAAGGGCATGGGTAAGGAGTTTTCATCAAAGGAGAACCCTGTTTTCCCAAAATCCAGGAAGTGGAATCCTTCTAGAGGACCACATATTTTGAACAAGCAATTCTCTGTTCCACAATCTTTATCTATCACTTCAATGAGATTGATTCCCATGTCCTTATTTACAACTCCAAAGTCCTTCTAGAGCCAGTATCTTTCCTTTCACTACTTTCTAGATTTAGATCATGCACGGATGGAACTGTTGTTAGGAGGTCACCTAATCTCCAAAGTGTTGGAAGTAGAAGTCAGTTTGTAAAGATTAAAGGGTCATTGAAAACTGTTTGCAGAAGTTATCTATTCTTTAAAGAAGATTGGCAGTAATAGGATGGTAAATAAATAAATAAATAGGGACATTAAGTGAATGGAATAGACAAGAGACGATTTTATTGATTAAATAGAAACAGAACAATTTTTAGGAAGGACAAAAACAATTTAGAGTGGGATAGTAACTTAAAATTCAAAAGCAACAACAGTGGAGAAATGACAGTGTCTATTTGTGATCAAAGAAATGTGAGTTAGGAAGGGCAGTCAGACAGAAACCCAAATAGAGTCCTGATTGCAGAGTGAAGGAAAGGGGTTTTATGAAGAAAGGAAAGAAATATGAAAAAGAAGAAAAAATTTCCACTGGTACTGTAAACCTCAGTTATTCTTTAGCTATACATGATTGGCTGCTGATTCTATTGTCAGAGAGTCCGTTATCATCAGAAAGTCTACTATTCTATTGGCATTACCAAAAACTCTTTGTAAAACAACCTTGATTTTAGTCCAGTTCAAAGGTCTGGCTCAGTCCACACAATTCAGAGTTTCAAGAAGCAAGATATGCAAAGCAGTTCCTACAGAATAGCATTTCAAACTCTATTTGAAATGACTTCACTTATTTCATCTTTAACAGGGGGATATTGAATATATAAAAGAGGGGGACTTCAACTTATTTTAACTTTAACAGGGGGATATTGAATATATAAAAGAGGGGGACTTCAACTGATGGAACTAGAGGCCAGTATAAGAAAAATAACATTGAAGAGTAAGATTTTGTAAAAAGCAGTGATACTTAACATCTCAAAAGTGATGTAAAGGAATAGAGAAGGATGCATAAGAAGTTAGATTTAAGGTGCAGAGTACTATAATTAAAGAATCTCAAATGGGCCTTAGCCTTCTATATATGGTCAACAAATTGAGGAGAATTGCATGGGATGGGAGACTATAAAAAATTGAGAAAAGAATTATGTTAGCTGCCAAAATGAAGGTACAGGTATAAAATCTACTTTAAAAAAGCCACAGTACTTATTGGCTTACAGTGAGGATGAGAAATTTAACTCACATTGTTAATGGTTGGCTTCAAAGAGAAAGGTGGTAATTCAAGTCTAGACATGCCAAACTTGAAGTAATAATGAAACATCCAAAGAGTAATATGAATCAGGTAGTAAGAGATATCAAAGCAAAAAACAGGAGAGGAATAATAGGTAGAAATTGGATGATGAAGTCTTTGATGTACATGAAAAGATGATTGTGGTGAAGTGATGAATTCATGGATGTCCCATAGAGCAGAGGGGATGCAGTCCTGGAAGCAGGAAAGTCAAGTTAATTAAAGTGAACCGGTGAGTTGAAGATGTTTTCCTGGATCATATACTGGCAAAGCTCTCCCCTACTTGTCAAAGCTCTTACAGACATGATTTTTCCTGTGGCCATAATTTTTTCAACTTCAATTCATACTATTTCAGGCAACATTTCCAAGCAGTAAGGTGTTTAAGATACTCTCTTCTTGTACAAGTATTTCCACAATCCATAATTCTCTGAGATCTTTACCACTTGTTTATCCAACTATATCTTTAATAATGCCTTGATCTACATAAAAATCTACATTTTAAAATCTATCATTGTATTCTTCCTTTTTTTTTTTCCATGTGGCAGGTCCAGCATATATTTGTGCTACTTTTTGTTAGCCAGTTTGTATCAGAAACCTTTCCTTACAAACTTAAAGCTGTGTCAGTAAAATCCACACTAAACTAAATACATAACTGCTAACAAAATGGTACTCAGAGAAATGCAATTGAGTGTCCACAATATGCTGCTCAATTTCTCACTGGCTAAAGGGCATCAATATACCCTATGGCACTTAGCTTACATTGATTGAGACCCTAAGGTCAAATTCAAAGCATGGACATGACATAGAAAAATATAGATTAGGTAGATATAGATAGATAGATATAGATGATACAGTTATAGATATAGATATACATAGAAATGTATAGATTATAAATAATTTTCAACTAGTATCATTTATGATAAGGTATGAACTCCATATTATTTATCATTTATAATTAGGAAAGTATTTCATAGACACATACTGTACCAAGTCAGCATGGTTGTGGCCACTATTAAATGGCATTTGCATGTAAAAGCTTAGGGAGGAGACTATGGAATATAAATATGAGAAGAGACAAAGCCCTTTACATTTTAGTATGCTTACACTTTGAGTTCCAGAGAAGGTGGAGAAAGAAACCACATGTTCATTAAGATTATTATAATGTTGCCCAAGGCTGAAACTTGGGTGACTCCTACTTGGGAAAGGAAGAAGAATTAGCTCAGGAGAGTTAGAATCATTAAAAGCAGAGCCTTTGGAATTGACAGGTTCAGTTTAGACTTCTGGCTTGCATTTATCACTTATTATGTAATCTCTTTGGCATCTCTGAAATCCCTAAGTGTAACCATAGTAGAATATTTTTTATGCATAGTTACAATGTACCAAAGATTTCAACATCAGGAATACAATATCTAGCTCTATTATGTAATATGAAGGCAGACTAATCAAAGAAAATACAAACAATATTTTTCTAAAATATCTCCAAATCTAACAAAACTAGTAAGTGAGATGCATTTCATTTTAATTTCTCTTAGTGGAACTAGACCATTACAATAGCTCATAATGTACATATAATTTTTTGTGCTCAAAAACTTTTTCCTAGCCAATATATGATAAGTTTTTATTAACTTTTTTTATTCACCTTTGTTTTTAGCTAATTGTCTTGTCAAAGACCTAATTGCAGAAATTCTACATTTTTGTGCAAATGACCAGTTATTCCACAAAGATTGTCTTCTAAGTTTATGTGGCTATGAAGAATTTTTACAGAAGTAAGTAGCTTACAAAGGTAAATTTTGGTCATTGTAATAACCTACATCAAGCAGAACTTACTTTTTCTCCTTTAATCAGACTTTGTACAAGCACTGTACTCTCCTAACCAGAATAATCAAATCAATTTTGGTCCCTCTGTAGTGAATTGAAAATTTTATAAGTCATATTGACAGTCTTATTCTTGGTTCTATTTTGTATTTTGTGTATTAATGACAACATGTATTTAATTTACTGTGACTAGGGTACCAACCACTCATCTCAGTTTTCCCAGGATTTAAGGAGTTCCCAGGACATGAGATTTTCAGTTTTGGCATCAAGAAAATCCTGGGAAAACCAAGTAAACTTACCTATAATAAAGCCTATTAGTACTGATCACAATTTTTAAAAAATAAAATTTTGTAATAAGTAATTTTAATATTTGGAATAATATTAATATGTTGATTAAATACTGATTTTTAAAAATCATATAGGGTTTGAGTATGATAAACAATTTTGATCTGAATGATTTAGATGTTAGAAAAAATAATAATGAATATTCTGCTTATTAAAATATATTATATCTATATATATATAGGCCGTAATACTCAAATAGAAAGCAAATCCCTGATATATACATATCCTTCAATTTCCATTAGGGAATAAATGACTATAATTAATCTATACTAATACTTGACAACTTTCTTATTTTAATAAAACCCAGGTAAATAAACTTTTAGTAACATTTCCATGGAATAGTAAATTTAAAAACATCTTCCTCATGTCTTTATTCAGGAAGTTTTTAAAACAATGAGAAAAATTTGTCCTCAAGTATGGCAACTGAAAATACTTATTTGATCGAAACCACAGTAGCTATTATCCTGAAATTGTTTGAAGACCAAACCTGAAAATATAGTATGACTCCAAGAAATTAAATATTTCTCTGCTGTTACTGCATAGTTCTTCTAAACAAGAAAGAAAGAATAAAATGTTTAATAAGATGTATTGCCATTTTATTTCCTCTCTGTGTTTCTAAGAGTATCTAAAGATTGGCAACACTCAATGACTAGACTGCTTCTTCTACCCCTAACATATGGTTTTGACAGTATATCCAGGGAGCAAGAAGAAACACTTCAGTAATGCAATCTTATACTGAATACTCATTGAAATTCATCTTCTGAATGTGAAAGTTTCCAAATGTACATCTGGATGTTGGCTGATGTCTACCATTTGAGGCAAAGAACAAGAAACTTTATTAAATATATTTACTTAGCATTATCAGTATGAAGCATCCCAAAAGCAAAAGTACTGAGGAATAGAATTTTGGAAAAATATAACATGGACCTTGACTTAATGTTTTGAGAATAAGTCATCCACAATTAGATAGCTAACAGTTGACTGCTAAAAATGTTGTAAATGCCATTCTACTCTTTTTTTTCTTGCTAATAAAACATAACAGAATTCTACAATATCTTCATGGTCATCTATTTATATAAAAAATTAATTTATCTGGGTTTAATTAAAATTAAAAAGTCGCCAAGTGTTAGTATAGATTAATTATAGTCATTTATTCCCTAATGGAAATTGAAGGATATGTATATACCAGGGATTTGCTTACTATTTGAGAATAACAGCCTATGTGTACTGTTATAATTTATTTTAATAAGCAAAATATTCATTAATATTCTTTCTAATATCTAAATCAATTAGATTTTTAAAGTTTATTCCTATGCAATTTATCTAAAAATATGTCCTTAAATATTTGGAAATCTATTCATAAAGTTTTCCTATAGCAGGAACACAGGTAACATATAACTTAATAGTGCAATAAGTAACAATTTAGTTTCCAGCAGTTATTATACTACAACTCATCATGAATATTTGCCTAGATCTGACTGTAATAATAATAATAGCCATTTATCAATTATATAAAAATATTTACATATAAAGTATATTTACTATAGCATGCTTTCTAACAACAAAAGAAAAAAAACTACCCAAAAAAACTAAATTTCCAAAGTACTCCCAAATAATGGTAAAATAGGTTATGAACATAATTTTATTATAAAATGGCATAGGATTTATAGATTAATAAAATATAGCATCATATCTTGATATAAAAAGGCATCATTGTTTTTAAGAGTGGCAAGATATTTTTTTAAACTATATTTTAATATATTAACTGTTGTTAAAATAAGTATATTTCTATTTGAAATATAAGATCAAACCCTTTACACTAAAATGTTAGAGTAGTTACCCTTGAAAAAGAACTATAATACAGATATTTATTCATTCTTTTTTAATTTACAAAACTTCTACTATAAACTTGTTTTGCTATCAGGAGAATAAGAAAATAAGTTCTTTGTTTGGAAACAAAAGCATTTAAATGACAGTATTAAGTAATAATGTGTGCTTAAAATGAGTTAGAAAGTAGAGTGAGGAGACCATTACTGAACTTATGAAAGACTGACAGAGCTTGAGCTAAAGTCTATCAGGGGTGTCCAGCCTTTTGTCATCTTTGGGCCACACTGGAAGAAGTATTATCTTGGGCCACATATTAAATACACGAGCACTAATGAAAGCAAAAAAAAATCTTGTAATGTTTTAAGTACATTTACAGTTCTGTGTTGGGTCACATTCATAGCCAATCTGAGCCACGTGCAGCCCGCAGGCCACAGGTTGGACACCCCTGGGCCTAGGCAGTGGGGCTAAGCAGGAGGTATAAAACAGGGCCAGGAAAATGGTGGGATTCATGGCACTTGGTGACTGACTGTACAGGACTGCGTGGGAGGGAGAAGTGGATGATGATGACCAGGTTCAATCACTACCCCTTCCCTCGACTCATCATGGTGAGTTGAAAACCAATGATGTAGATGTAAAAGAAACATAAGTTTTGGGGGTGCAAAATAATTAATCAAGTTTGAGACATTTGAGTATGTGAGTGCCAAGGGGCATTTGATTTTAAGAAAGTAAATAAAATTTTAGGAAAACTGTTTGAGATTAGGGAATCATTGGCTCTAAGAGGGAATGAAGTTTTCAAAACAGGTAAGATCACATGGGGAAAGTGTCCCAAAAAAATAAAAAAGCATCCTGAGAACATCAATATTTTAAAAATAGAAGGAATAGAAGAGCAGAAAAATGAAATTGAGAAAAAGCAATATAAATTGTAAGAAACCTTGGAAAATGTGTTTTTCACAAAAAAGAAGGAAAAAGCTTCAAATATCAAGTAAATGTGCCATCAAATGCTGAAAATAAATATTAGGTGAAGACTGAAAAACCACCATTAAATTTGACAACTGGGAAGTTAGTTAGCGACACACATTAGTTTCAGTAAAATGAGGGAGAAAAAAGCAAGATTGCAATGAGCTAAGAACAATGGAAGATGATAAATAAAAATACATAGACAGACTACTCTCTCAGAAGTAACGTGTGGAGAGAAAAGCCAGGAGAAAGATGGGATTTCATGTGCTTAGGGGAACTGGTCTGGAGATTTAGAGACCGTGGATAAGAGATATCTGATACTACTCATACATTGAGGGGAAAAGCCAATAAAAGGGGAAGGATTGAAGGCACTGAACAGATCAATCGTGAACCAAATTCCAAGAGGAAATAAATGACAAAGGATGGTTTCAAGAAGTTAGATGAACTCAGTTATTAGTGCTCTGAAGGAAAAATTTCCCTCTCCAATGACAAAGACCAGCAGGAGTTCAAATGAATATGAATTTAAAAATTTTAATACCCAGAAAGATAACTATGCTTTTGGAAAACTGGAACTCTGATAAAAGTAGGGATGTTTAAAGAAGTGGTATGGAGATGCTAATAATAGTAAAAACAAAAGCAAGAACAGAATTTACTTCACTGTTAAAATCTAGAATCTTCACATGTAGCACCATTCATTTTCATATAAGAGAAGCTTGATTATTCCCATTTTACAGATGGGAAAATTGAGGCTAAGAGAAATTAAATGACTTCCTAAAAATCATAAACTTTGGAAGCAAGAAAGGCAGGACAGCACAGGTTTATCTGGCTCTGCAGCCCACAGTCTTTGCGGTCTTTTGCAAAGCCAATGGCATCATAAAAGGCAACCTGAAAACAAAAGTTACAGGGATAATGGTCATATGCTTGTGCCAGTGCATGTGCACTAAACATAAGTGTATAACTTAATGTACCTCATTTAGGTCAAACACACACAAAATTTTTTTTGATCTTCAATCAGGAAATGTTTAGAAATGACTTGACTAAATAAGGATCAATTATAATCACTAAAGGTGGGCTTTAAATGTCACTTCCAGATTTCTGTTAAACCGAAATTAATTTCTTTTTGAAATTTTGAGAATGTTTAAGCGAATAAAATAACATCAAAACAAATTTTACCCACTCTTGGTAATGCTACTCCCTATTACTGTTGCTTTGGAGAAATAAATTAATCTCCTTAACTGCAATTTATTTACCTCTTAAAAATTGGATTTTTAATATATTTTCTTCTTTACAAATGAGGTTTAGGGTTACATTTTAGTAATCTTTAATTCCAAATATAAAAATTGTACTAAGCCTGTACTAGTCTTTTCATTATGTATGAATTGCTTTGAGTTCCTGTAAAGTGTGGGCCTTAATAAATAAAAAATGTATAGTTGTTAAAATATAATGAACTAAACGGAAAAATATCCCTCTCACAAAAACTATTACTTTAACATTATTATGTAAAAACACTTTTCATTTTAAGCTTCCCTTATGTTATCAGAACTATGTTTCTTAATCTGTTCTGTTTTAGAAAGAAAGAGATAAATTATATTTAGTTGTTCCTTTTAGCAGCATCCCATCTACTTTGGAGTAGATAAGGGTAAATCCTTCGTATTTAAACTCCTTTGTGTCTTCCAGATGGTATTATTTGTCTTTTAAAACAGTCACAGTAAGTAACTACTTGCTAAACTAAGCAAGTTTTGAGGAAGTAGCTAAACCTTTTGTCATCATAATTAAAATGTCAATGGTCAGGAGACTTTTTCACAATTTTGACAATGGTATATTTGTGATGCTCTGTTTTTTACTTCTTCCTAAGTCATATTTTTCTTTTTTTTAAAACTCGCTTGTCTTTATTAAGGTTTGAAAAGTAATACATAAAATCTTGAAAAGGGAACTAATCTAAATAAATATGATGATAGGGAGGTAGATTGATAGATATGATATATAGATGGATACAAATTACACATTTATCTACATTTATATTGATTCATTAAAACAGTGTTCTCAGAATTTAACATGTTCACTAGAGATGCAAGTACCTTGTTAAAAAACATTCTCATTTAGTTGGTCTGTGGTGGGGCCCGAGACTACATTTCTAACAAATTTTTGTGCAATGCTAATGCTCATGGTTCACTGGTCACATTTCAAGTAGCAAGATATTAATGAACAAAAAATTTAGACTTTATGAAGAAAAGGTATATACTTTTCAAAAAGAATATATATTGGACAAAAGTTAAATGTAATCAACAAAGCAGTTAGGATGTTATACTTTTATACTTTATAACATGTTACAAAATTAAGAAAGCTAACTTTCGTGGCAAGCCAAAATCCTTTCATAAGTCAACTATATTGTTATGGCAACTTACTTAGCATTCACCTTAATTTGGTAACACAGACTTTCCCTGTCAATTAAAATATTCTATTCTCCCTCACTGGCTCTCACCATAGTTCTCCTTCTCCCTGTTTAATGTTTCTACAATCATAACAGCAATCTTTAATATCATGTTTGTATAACTATTCTCAAAAAATGATATAATGTATTAGTATTTCAACTGTATCAAATATGGTATCATTAATTATCAGTATTCTCCTCAAAAACTGCTTTATAAACAGTCTGATGATAATACCAAAGAGTAAATTAAAGAATTACAACAGAAACTTCATTAATTTTCTCATAGGCCTGTGGTAGCTTAATACAAAGTTGTCAACAATATGAAGAATGGAATACAAAACCAAGTTAAGCTAGAATAAATTAAACAGAGAAATAACAGAAATCTTGTTTATTCAAAAAATATTAACAGCTTTCTTCACATTCCTGGCCTTTAAGTCCCCATGTTAATTACCATGGGAAGATGTCCTTTTCAATCCCATTTCCCTATTTCCCATGATCTTATCCAGTACACAGACTACTCTGGCTTCTACCGTGGCAGGCTTGAGGACAGGACAGCTTCGTTTTCTTTGCTATTAGAGGTAGCACAGATCTAGAAAACTAGAGGACAAAAGGCTGTTTCCTAAGGCGGTTCCGCACCCTGCTTTCCAGCGAGAGAGTAGCAATAGCTATACCTTCACCTGGTTGGTTCACTCTCCTCTCCCCATGGTTGTAAAAATTCTAGTTTTAGAATTTTACCTATACTTGTCTATCCAACTAATAGAGTTTAACTTTCCCTATTTATGGTTCCCCTGAGAGAGAAATAATAATAAACGTGATGAGCACTGGTTGAGGAAAACCAATTACACTTATCTTTACCTATGCTGAGTCAGCAACGAATAACAGTTTGCACGTAATTACAGGATGCTTTTATTAGCAACACAAGTTACTAGAATTAAAAATATGGTAGCTGTGTTATAGAAATTTTTAAGTGACAAATACGAAAAGAATGTGTGTGTATGTATACAAACGTGCATACACATAAGTATTTGAAAATGTTCTATAGAGTACTATAGTATTATTAGTATTTTAATATTCAGAATGTTCATCTTACATTTCTTAGTCAACCTAAATATTAAAAGAAAGTTTAAATCCTGAGTTTTCTTAAAGAAATGTCTTCAGTAGCTGTCCATAATCCTGACTCTCAATATTTATAAAATCAAATTAAAATACTTTTCTTCTATAAATGACTAATATTTCACAATATATTTCTGTGACTATTTACTACACATATGAATAAAGAACATTTGAACCTAGTTATCCTATAAAATAAAATAAACATATGTATTTATTTCAGTTAAAAATAATGTTCATAAATGTGTGTTTACAATAACTCCTAGACAGGAATCAATATTTGTAGGTTGGACTCTATTTAGGATATCTTTTCATTTTTGCCCATAGGACAAATTTGAAGTATTTGTGTATAATTTTTTGGTGTTAAGGTTATTAATTTCTCTTTAATGTAAACGTGCTTCTCTGAGATACTTTAAAATAACATGAGCTACTTATGAATTGGAAATAGGAGTAATTATGTGCAAGGATTCAGCTTCTTGGTGTTCATCTTCCATGACAGGTACACTCATAACAGTTCTTAAGATAGTAACCAGCACACTTATTTGTTGAGAGAATAAATAAATGGATGTGTAGAGCTTTGCTTTACTAGTATATATGGAAAAAAACAACTGTAAGGATTTTTTTTAAAAAATAGCAATTGTCAAAATAAAAACATTTACAGGGAATTTAATAAATATCAACATAGTAGTGTGTTATTTGTCTGATATTGTTGGAAATAGTTAGTCCAAAATATTTAGTAAATTTTCCAAATAAATGAATTTATCATTTTAAGGGCCCAAAATTTTTAATATGTTTTTTTCTCCTGATATCCTTCATGTATTTAACCAAGATACTTAAACAAAGTCCATTGACACAATTCATCCTTTTTAATGACTCAAAATCATTAGAAATATCAAATATCAAGGCTGTATAAGAGGTCATATAGTAAAAGTCCTTCATTCAAAAAAAGAATCAAATATACATTGTAAATTAATAATTCATTGCATTCATCATTTAGTGTGTTATTAACAAATATTTATACAGGGAGAGAAAAGCAAGCAAGCATAGAGAGAAAAAAAGGAAGGGAGGAAGGAAGGAAGGAAGGAAGGAAGGAAGGAAGGAAGGAAGGAAGGAAGAAAGAAAGAAAGAAAGAAAGAAAGAAAGAAAGAAAGAAAGAAAGAAAGAAAGAGAGAAAAAGAGGAAAGGAGGAAGGAAGTGAGGGAGGGAGGAAAGAAGGAAGGAAAACAAAGAAAGAAAGAGGGACAAAATATACTACACCATTAGAAATTTCTGAAATATAAAGGGATATTTTTTCTGTTTAACCTGCTTGTACCTTCTTTGACATAGACATTAATATCCCAACTCTGCAAAGGAAAATACTGAGTTTCAGATTGTTTAATTGACCTGCATAAGGTTATGGAGATAGTAAATCTTTCTCTAAAAACCATGACATTTCCACTTCACCACTCCTCTTTTTTAATACAACGCTCCCCACATACACTTTGTGGCATCAACGAGATGTCCCAGAAGCATGCTGTCCTTAGCTTTGAGATGGCTGGGTAAAACTAACTTTGAATATGTAAAACATTTTTATTGTAACTTATTATGTTTACTCTAAAGGCATCTATTTTCTAACTTAATGTATTTGAAGGTATTTGTCATATCTTGTCATTTAAAAATGAATATGAAACACATATAAAACTAGGGATATATTTAAAACTTTTACCAGACACTAAGTTCCAAATATAAAGAAATTAAGTCAGAGAGAAAAACAAACACTTGAGAGGTACTATGGGAGGAAATGATTGTTCATTTTTTTCCTTCAGTGATCACTCTTTGGGAAGCCACAAAGTATTTCAGAAAGATAAATCTATTATTCAACTTAATCTGCAGAAAAATAAAGAATTTCCCGGAAAGTTATCTCGAACGGTAAGACATTCTTAATATTGGTTTTAATTTCCAAACTGATCATTTTAAGGACAATATTCCTATCTTTACAATTGTTACTAATTTCTAATTACATAGCCTAATGGCTGCATGTTCATTTGAGTATATTTATTAAAATATAATAAAATATTACCTATATATCTATTAATAATTTGGACCAGAACAATTGCATGAAAAATTTACTGCCGACCCAGTATAATAAACCAGTAGATCTCTTGGAAAAGTTATTTATGAGAAACTTATTAGGGTTATCATGTTCATACCATCAATGAATCCACTAGAAAATGAATGTAATAGAAAATGTGAAAGGGAAACCACTGAAGGACGAGAAGCAACACAATTTTTGTTCTATTTGAAGACTGCCTGCATCAACACAGTTTAAATTGGGACAGATTAATATTCATAATATATAATAAAACTACCTTGAAGGAATTACCATGGTTTAATGACACAGCTTCATACTGTTAGATATGAATTCTATGCTCTGTGTGATATCTTGAGTCACTTCAAACCTAAATTGCACAGTATGCAGGGAACTTTGATATTTTGGCAGATTTTATCTGTAAAGTCTTCCAATTACCTGCATTAAGCGAAATCGCAGCACCCGGTCATTTACATCAGATGACAGATTTCCAGTGCCCTGACTCTTTTTTTCTAGCCTGAGGAGTTTCATCACAAAATGTGTCAGATGGTACATTAGGTCACAATATATCTATGTGGAATATAGCATAATGAGGCCAAAAGAGAATTATTTAGAAATATCTTTTGGAGCTGGTTACCCAACTCAGCCAGTGTTGAAAGCTCCAGGGCTATGCATCTGAAATCTCACAAAGAAACATTAAAGGACAACTAAACCCCTCAATATTAATAAGCCTAAATATCTTCACAGTGCCTTCAATGTTGACAAAAACAGCTGACATCATCAGTTTCATTTCAACACAGAGGAAGAGAGAAAATGTATGATTCTCATTTCTACTTTTGTTTGGAAGACTTGTGTTGCTAAGAAAAAAGTTATCTTATTGGTAGAAAGTCACAGATCACTAACATTTCAGTTACATGTAAATTGAAGTTTATTCTTTTTTAAAAAAAGATTGTATTTATTTATTTTTAGAGAGCAGGGAAGAGAGGGAGAAGGAGAAGGAGCCTCTAATATGTGGTTGGCTCTAATGTGCCCCCCACAGGGGACCTGGCCCACAAATCGGAGACCCTTAGCTTCACAGTCCGGCGCTCAGTTCACTAAGCCACACCAGCCAGGGCTGAAGTTTATTCTTAAATCCATGTAACTCCCATTTATTTTATGACTTGGACTTGAACATTTATATCACATGGAGTCTTCATAATAATTCTAGGTGGTAAATATTATTAAAAATAAGGAAACAAATCACAGGGATCTCTGTGACTTTTCCCAGGTCATAGTCATGGACTGCTGAGCAAAGGAACACGGATTTGAGCCCAGCCAGTGAGGCTTCACAGTTCACATCTCATGCTACCAACTTACTCAGAAGTTTTCTATATGAGCTCTTCAGAGCAACTGGTTAAAATTCTACTTTTACATATGTATTTTTTCCTTATTTTTGTTCTGTTTTCCTCAGCTATATATACATACTTCAGTGCCTGGGGTATAATAGGTGTTCAACAATAATACATGAAGTGTCGGGCATTGTTATCAGTGCTCTACATGTATTAATTCACAATAGCTCAAGAGCAACAACAACAAAAAAGTAGTAATTACTATTATTTCTCTTTTCATATAAATAAAAGTACATTAAAAGATTATTTGAACAGCCCAATGCTTTACAGCCAGTAAATGAGAAAGATGGGATTTGAGCAAAGCTAGTCTGGTCACAGAGCTCACTACATCATAATGACAGCCAATATAGTATCTCTGAGTTATTGTCATCGCCAGTGTTATCGTATCCAAGCATATAGTCACCTCTGGGTTTAAAGTGTAGAGTTGTCAAGAAATGCCTGCTTTTCAAGCTGTCATCTGGATCACAGTGAGAATTAAGTTACATGGTTCTTTTTTTACACTTCAAAGTTCAACTCATGAATCTTTACCTTTTACAAGGACTATCACCAGCTCTTAGCTAATTCAGCAATTTATAGGTAAAGACTATAAATGCCTTTTCTTGTCCACATCTTTTCCTAACACTTACACCTTATGTAAAAATTGATAATAGGCTTGATGGCATAGGTATCTGTATAGTCCCCATTCCCTCATATTTCCTGTGTAACTGCAGTGCCGCAGGCCCTGTGCTACGGGGTATCTAGTGTAATAAGCAAACTCAGTGAGATATCTGCCCCTGAAGGGCTGAGTGTCCGGGGTTTTCAACTGGCTTTACTCTCAGTTAAGAGCAGTGGTGGTCTCCACATAGGCCGTGAAAAGGCATTCCATGTCTCCATCTCCCCAAGTCCTGGTTCTTCCTGGATAGTTTCAGCAACCCATTCAAAATGAGAAGACATTACATTTTATGAAAATCTATAAGGGTTTACTTCCAGGTATTATGCTCTATATGTATAAAATCTAACAATCAATTAATTCAATAAATATTTTTACATGCCATATATATAGTATTTGCCTTAAAAGATCTATATATTAAAGAAACAGGTTAGCGAACCTACTTAAAATTCAGAATTACGTCTTAGAACACACGTATTCATGGACTGTTTCTCATTTGTTCATTAAACATATAATAATTGAGCACTTGCCATGAGCCAGGAACTATTCTAAGCACTGGCGATATGGAGGCAAACAAGATATCTCAGTATTTGTTCTAGAATGTAGAGTCTACATTCTAGTAAAGGAGACAGAAAATAAATATACATAAAATTTTTGATAGAAATATGTGCTTTGAAAGAAAAGATAGCTATGCTTTTAGAGTCTGGAGTAGGAGCCCCTGGTGCAAATGAATATGAAGAGCTAGTGGTGGTAATTATTTTTATATGTACATCCTAGAGCATATAGGCTTAGCTCTTACATAAGAAGTAAGGAGTATTAAGTTTACTAATTTAGCCTCTTGTTTAAAAGCAGAGATTCTGGGTTCATACTCCCAAATTCAAATGCCTGCTCTTGGACATATTAAATTCTCTGCACCTGAGTTTTCTCAGTTTAGAAATGTGAATAATATGGTTACTATAAGAACTCAATTAAGAAGTAAGAATAAAGAGCTTAAATCAGTTCCTGTACTTAGTGAGGACTATATAAATATTAGTTATCAATTTCATAAAATTGGTGTGTGAGAATATATGATATTTTAGTCTTTTTCTCCTAAACTCTATATGAAAAGGAGATAGTAAATGTTCTTTTATGATTCTATTTTTAAAGTACTATCAAAATTTTCTGTGATTTTTGCAATTTTTGGTGAAGAAAAAATTATAAACGATTATATTTCTTCCTAGTAGAAAACCATAACTTTGTTTTGATAATATTATTTTTATATAATACTAAGAATAAAATGATTATTATCATTCTATTGAATGTATGGACAAGCATGCCCTTCAGCAGATATTTCAGAATTCTAAAAGACATTGCGAAGCTCAATTCATCTCATACACCTTTCTTACTTTAAATTGGCTTGTACTTTAGTAAAATAAGGAAATTTAATTCAGGTTCCATGGGATTATTTATAAAAAAGGGTGACAGTCTTAGGAAACCATTCTAGATTCCCAAATTTTAAAATCCCTCTCTCGATGTAATGTGATGTGATGTGATGTGTTGTGATGTGAATGAATGCGTCTTTCTAAAAAAAAAATTTGTTCTTCCTCAGTCTCTCTGAGATCAGAAGCATTGCCAACATTGTAGATGTTAATCATAAATTCAAGATTTCTTTCTAGCTCAAGGAAATATTCACAGAACATTCACAGCAAAAGATTTTTATGTGAAAAAAAGAAAAAAAAACATTTTAACTTTTTCCTTAAGATGAAGGTATGGCTTTTAGCTTTAGAGGAAATTAAAGTACACGATATAGTCCATGGACAACTACTCAAAATTGTCCCCAGCTTTTTGAAATGGTTTAAATGAAAAATTTCTCTTGTAAGTTACAGTATTACAAAGATCAATCCTTTCCCCTCAAAAGCATCTCTGGAAGCCAAGTAAAGTGATTATAAAATGAATATTATTATGCTATACAGAAAGATGCAAATATGTCATACATTTTATATAATTGCTTAGGTTTTAAATTCTGAAAGAATGAAAGTAACAAATATTACAATTGAAATTTTACTATCTCTTTTTTGGCTCCAGTTTTCACTTCTTATTTTTCCTCCCTTTTACTGTCATTTTCATGCCTAAAGTTTAGCGTTTACTATTGCAGGGGGAAAAAATTGTCTTAACCACTATCACACTTCCAAAGTTAGTCATCCCACTGACTCTAGATGTAAATTCTTAGAGAGTAAGCCTCATGTTTTTAAGTTCCTTAACATTTCTACAAAGTGTTTTTTTAACAGCACACACTCAATGTATTGTTTTATAGTGATGACCTGATTCTATACAATGCAACTTAGCTTCCTTCTTCCTCCAAAACAAACCAATATAAATATTAATTTACCTTTGATCCTAAGCCTTTTAAAGGTTTTCCCACTGATGCTTTCTCTCAGAAACTCTAATAGACAATTGTTAAAATAGGTTGTGTGTGTATTGACATACAATATTACATGCACCTCAGCATTTAAGGGACCCACTCAGCTCCCAAACTTAACTCCACCCTGTGGTGAAATCGTGCAATTGTGATAGTGTATATTGCATCCTGTACAGACTTGCGTAGGGTTACCATGAAAGAACCTCACAGAAGAACTAGTCTAGGAGTGACGGTTTGAACGTGTGCGTGCGCACATGGATCATTGGATGAATATTTGAAGACGAGTAGTTCCTGCACGTCTTGGGAGAAGGATCACAATGCCACCTAACTCCAGGGATTTATACCAATCAGTAGTTGTAAATCATTAGCACAATTTAATGTTCATGAAATGGTAAGTCCTCTTAACTAATGTTTGGTCACAAGACATGGTAAAGGTGAAGTGAACATGGAGGTGTTCACTCCCTGTCTGAGGCCAACCTGGCGCGCTGTCCAGTTTTATGCTGCCATGGTGCCCCTGACTCAATGTAAAGGGCAAGTACATGTGTTCGCGAGGTGCCTGAAAAACTGCCTTCCATCCAGGAGAAGTAACGTTTGACCTTGGTCATGTCAGGGTGTCTTTCAACTGTCCTTGAGGCTTATCAAGGTTTGAGGCTTATCAGCGAAAGCTCAGCTCTCTCACTTCCAAAAAGAATGCTTATATAGCTAAGGAGAGTCTTGTAAGGTCTTTAAAACAATGTATTAAAGATGATGAATGAGAGTTATCAAAGAGGTGAATTAAATGACAGCAGGAAGCTACAGACCTATTTTTATCTGGTACTCATTCCTATTCACTCTATAAATATTAATATATTCTGCTGTCTACAGCATGAAGATGACCACAGTCCTTTTTTTCTGAACCAACTTTTAGAATTTATGCATATTTGGAAAATATCCAGGTAAGACATTTTACTTCTGTTCCAAGGCTACTTTCTGACTGAGTTCTCAAGTGTCAAATCACAATATTTTTCACTTGATTGTAAAAACCATCCTTTCACTAGTACTGTGGAAGCTATTGTATTTTTAATAGATACCTCCTTTTGGCAAATTATGTTAATAATTATCTCTTCCTCACAGTTATTCACATGCATTTGAAGAGCTGCTAACACCTTTCAGAACAATCTAACATTTATTTTAAATATCTCTGCTACCAGTTATTACATTTTCAATGATTTTTCTCCCATTCATTTTGTGAATTTGAGTTTGCATGTGTCACTAAACTCTCTGTGTAACTACATTTCCATACTTTGAAAGTCACCATCTCCTGCTTTAAATCCTTTTCTGGAAATCTCTGAAAATACCTAATATATCTAAGCAGAGAAGTGTGGCTTTAAATTGGAAAACTCAAGTGACAGCAAAGGAACATATCTTTACTTATTCTGATATCTAAATGTATGCATGTATACATGTATTATTTGAAAGAATAGATCTAACTAAGAAGCTAACTTGGGAGAAGATACCAGTGGCACATTACGGATTTATCTGGAATAAATATTTTTCTGAGCTGAATGAACAAATAATGGGGCATGGGAGGTATATGTGGTAAATCTCTAAAGAAAAACCCGATGTAAAATAATTAATATATCCTTCACTCACATAATTACCACTTTCTTATTGTAATAGTCAGAACATTAAAGCTCTATTTTCACAGCAACTCCTGAGTGTACAATATAGTATTACTAACTATAATCACAGTGCTCTACCTTCGATCCCCAGAGCTTATTTATCTTATAACTGAGCCCTTTGTCCAACATCTCCCCACTTCCCCTGCTCTCACTCTTCACCCCTTGGCAATTACCAATCTGTTTTCTGTTTCTGTTCTGTTCTTAGATTCCATAAATAATTGAGATGATATGGTATTTGTCTCTCTCTCTGACTTATTTCTCTTAGCATACTGCCCTCATGGTTCATCAAAGTTGTCACAAATAGAGGATTTCTTTCTTTTTATGGCTGAATAATATTCCATTGTTTGTGTACATAACATTTTCTTTATCCATCCATATATTGATGAATGCATTTGTTATTTTTTGTATTTTTGAAATCTCATTATGATTTTGATTTGCATCTTCCTGGTATTATTGATATTCTTCATGTATTCTTAGGAGGAATGTCTATTCAAATCTTCTGCCCATTTTTAATTGATTTTTTCTTTTGTTATTGAGTTATGTGAGTTTATTTTATGTTTCACTAATAATGCCCTTATCAACTACATGTTTTACCATTTTTTTTCAAACCCTAGGTTGTCTTTTTATTTTGTTCATTGTTTCCTTAGTTGTGTAGAAGTTTTTTGGTTTGATATAGACCCACTAGTTGATCTTGCTTTTTTTGTTGTTTGTGCTGTGGGTATAATATCCAAAATCTCATTGCAAAAACCATTGTCAAGACACTTTTCCTTTATGTTTCCTTCTAGGATCTTTATAGTTTCAGGTCTTATGTATAAGTCCTTAATCCATTTTTAGTTAATTTTTGTGAGTGGTTTAAGATATGGGTCCAATTTCATTATTTTACAGACTATCCAGCTATCCCAACACAATTTATTGAAGAGACTACCCTCTGCCCACTGAGTATTCTTGACTCCATTGTCAAGTATTACTTGAACATGTATCTACAGGTTTATTTCTAGACTCTCAGTTCTGTTCCATTGGCCTATGTGCCTGTTTTTTAAATATTATTAAATTTATTTTGGTGAAATTGGTTAACAAAATTATATAGGTATGTGTTTACCACCCAAAGACTCCAATTTAAAGGGAAGTGTTTTTTTTCTTTCCAGACAGTGCCTTTCAACAATAATAAAAAAATATGACTCCCACCTGAAATACCTATTGAAAACCCAGGTATTAAACTTTATTTCATCTATCAATTCAATAAGCATTTATTAAGTATCAACTCTTTTCTAAAACTTTGCAAGTTTCTTAATATATAAAGATGAATAAAGCATGGTCTTCACCTGAGAGACTTTCATTTTACTGTGACAAAACAGGTAAGTAGATACATGTGTGTAACAAAATGTCATAGGTCCTGTGAAAGACTTATGTGTATATAGAACACATACAAGGGGTTTACCAATTTTACTAATTTGATCTGAATGTTGAAAAATAAGTGTGTTAGTCATAGAAGGGGCACAGTAAAGGAACGTACGAAATAGGGATAATGTTCAGCAAAGAAAAACATGAATGAAAGCAGTTAGGAAACATCCTGGTGTGACTACGAAACTACGAAATTTGCAGTGGCCACAAATAGAGTTCAAGGTGAGAGCCTGGAAAGAGACCAAATGAAGAAGCAAATGGAGACCAAGTTATGTAGGATCTTAAGGACATATTACTGACATTTGAATGATTTTCTAATTTATCAGATGTTGACCTGGAGCCAATATGCAGAGCTGTAGAATGACAGATGAGTGAGTAAAGGGGCATTCATTAGCCCAAAGAGATGTTGAGGGCATTGACAAAAGTTCTAATATAGGGATGGATAGGAGGGAACAGATCCATAGCAGGTGAAAATGTGTAATTTACATGATTCGGTAAGATACTATGAGTAACGAAAGAACAGGTTGTCTAAGTTTCCTCCATATTCCTGGCTATTGACTGACTGCGTGGAAACATCAATCCACTGAAATAGTGAAGAGAGAAGTTAGCTTGGCACAGGAAAGTGATGGATCCAGTCCAAGACTAGTAATATTTGGTCACCAAATGGGCATCCAAGTTGTGATCACCATTAGGCAGATCATTTCTTGTACGTTGTTCTGGCAGGGAAGGGTTAGTTTTCCACAGATAAAGCATCATATGATTAAAGAGAACTGTCTTAAAGGGAATGTTTTAAAACAAGTGAGGATTACTTTTTTCTATTAAAATAATTTGACTTCTCATACATATATAAAATGGCATAGACTTTAAGTAACTCTTTCTAATATTAATGAACAAAAGATTCTGAAAATAATAAATTACATTTCTTGATATAGATACCAAATTCATGTGTGAATTCCATGTGAATACTTAAAGACGTGGTGATGATAAATACATGGCTGATATTCCTTCCTCAAGTGTAATCTTCTCACTCTAATTCCATTTTCCTTTCTTGAGCCTGGCCTGAACCTGGAAATTTAAAATGTGGAATGTGAAAATAATTAGGATAATTAAAATTAGATTGTTTTAAGGCTCATGAAAGTGTCAACAGTTATGACTTCTTTCAGCTTGATTCTTCACCTTTGTGGTAGTCATTCTTCCCAGTATAGAATTTGAAATTTACCAGGGACCAGGACAGTTTAAGACTTCATTTCTAGATCATTTATGTATCTTGACTATATGTAGATATATTTTTATGTTATGGTAAAGTACTTATAGATGAATTTTAATTATCTAAATGCCAGATGTCTCATTACTATTCATGTGTCATAGATGTTTTTTACATGCACACACAAAAACAAAAAAAACTGTTGAGATTCAGTTAACAGTTCTTATTTTCTAAATATAGAAGTTTGAACATATTACTCATACATGAAAGAGCCAATATTTCCACTTTGAAAGAAACCATTGATTATTATAAATTTTTAAACTCTGACTTAAAAGTTGGCAAAACATCAAAGAAATAGTGTCCTTATAATATCACTGGCAAATAGTTATCATCACCCACATTTGAATTATTTTATAAGTAGACTACAGTGTCTGCGATTTTCCAGATGAAATCCATGGAAACAATGAGCTTTTTAAATGAGATTCTGCCTGAGAAGCATAATCAATGGTATATATCTGAGAAGCGAGGAGAGGCTGTGACATTATCAATTCACAATTTTGCACTTTCTAGTTATTTGACAAGTGCATTAAGTAGCATTTCATCAATGCTGAAAAAAGTATTAAGTTGAAAATTACATTTTTATATTTCCCAAACTTGGATCATCACACATGATTTGAAAAAATAACAAACATACAAGGCTTCATAAATATAGCATCAATATTATTGAATATCAATGTAGATAATTTAAGTTTTCAGATATTTTCTTTCTTCAGCAGTAGTTATTTAACATGTTTTAAATTTGACCTAATTGCAAGTTAGGCATCTTGAAAGAATTTTTCCTAACATATTACTTAATGCAAATTACTGAACTATTTATTCATAGAATGAAGAGAAATGGAAGGCAGAGCCATGCTCTGAAGTTGCTGAGGTTCTCGTTGAAAAGGCAGCATATTCATATAAATAACATACATAGAGTGGGATTTATACAAAGCAAAACAGTGTAAAACCAGATTTCAGCCTAGATGAAAGGATTAATCTCCAGTGCAAAGTTGTTTCTTCCTAGTAGCTTCTATTATATAATCTCCAAAATTTTTATTAAAATGTTAAGTAAGATTTTTATAGAAATTCAGCAATTCTTATCACTGATGACATATTTACACTAAAATCTAGTAACTGGTGAACTACGTGTAAACTAGAGGGTTCTGGATTAAGAAAAATCTATTCATGCTTCATGATGTAATTTAGCTTTGTGAAATATTGACCTGGTCTGGAAAGAATTAAAAACCTCCAAACCCTTTATCATCTAGTCCATGACTCAGAGACTGTATCAACTAGAAAACCAGAAGAATATGGCATCCTTATTATTCAAGTTCAAGCGACTCAGTGAGGAAGGCAGAATGTTACTTAACTGACACTATTCCCTCCCCAAAACCCAAATCCAACTACATTCAGCCTCTAGACAGAGGCTGAAAATTCTATATATAAGTAGGAAGAAAAGGGGCAAATAGGAATCTTATATATTTAGTTTTTTCAGAACTGAAGCTCTTTTAGTAACAAGCAGATCTGCTGTTGGATATTCAAACATTCCAATTTGAAACAGAATTTACAGAGTGACAGAAAGGAGAGAATTTAGGAGCAGAGATTCCAAAGCCAGATAGATGTATATGCCAACCCTCTACCAGTTATGGAAGTTTTTATTTAACCTTTCTAGAGTTCACTTTATTCATCATTAAAGTTAATATAATAAAATGTAATAGTATTTTTTAAATTAATGAAATGCTTAATATGTTATAGTGTCTGGAAGATAAAAAGTGTTCAAGGAAAGATAAGTACAAGTGTTTGTTTACTTTATTGCTATCAGAGTTACTATTTTTCACACACTGTAGATGATTGCATAGAATCCAGAAGTAAAATGTCACAAAACTGATTTTGCTTTGCAACAGAATATAAGAAAATGTGAAAAAGGAGCTAAAAAACTTAAAGAAAAATAAGTTGGTAACAAGGGCCAGTTCAAAGATGAAATCAAGGGGAAGAAGAGTTAAAAGTCAGGTCACAAGAAAAATAAAACACAATTGCAGAATTGTAACCTACCTTAGCAGAAATAAAGGGCAGACTAAAACTACTAAAAGTCAAACCTATTACGTACTGAACACTCCCAGACTTGAAGAAAAAAAAATGAAAGGAAATCTTCAATAAGGAAAGTAGTCATTAGCCAACGTAATTTGTATTCTTAGTGAGAAAGAAATCATGGAAAAGTTCTGTCAAAAGAATAACACGATCTGGTATTTGATTTGGAATTTGTGCAGTGAATTCTGTAACACATGGAGAACATAAGATATGTACAAACTAAAGAAGAATAAAAGAGCAGGCATTCATATTAAACATTAACTTTAGGAACAAAATATTGCCAGCACCATAGGATGATCTGCCTGTGTACCACTTTGTATCTCTTTTCTTCTCTGTAAGAGGAATCCTTTGGTTAAAAGTCTGTTGTTGCTTTTCTTTACCATTTCATCACCAAAGTGTTTGTTGACTAGCAATATAAGGTTCAGGTGTCCTTTTAAGATCTGTCTAAAGAGAATCAAACTGTATGTACTTTTTGAGCTATGTACCTTTTCACTCAATATTGTTTTAGATATTTATTCACTTTGTCCCATGTGGCTTTGATTCGCTTATTTTCATTGCTATACAGTACTCAATTAGATGAGTAAACCTTATTTATTTATATAGTCTACTGTTTGTATACATTGGAACTAATATCAAGGATTCCTCTAGGGTATGTATCTAGGATCATAAACTTACAAGGTAATACAAATACTTTGTAATACCAAAGGTATTACTTTTCCAAGAGGATCTCAGACATTTTACAATACTATAGTAAAATGTGTGATATGGTCTAACTTTTCAAATTTTACCTACATGAGGTAAATGTAATGTCTTATTTCATTCTATATTTTCACTTCCCTACTAATAAATTCATGATTCTTCACTCTTTTTAAAGATAACATCAAATTATCATTTTTATAATTTACATGTTCCATAATTTTCTCCTTTGTCCTACATTTCACCATCTTTTTCAAATAAATTTTTGGAGTTATTTATACAATTATTCTTTCTTTGCTTTGATGTATTGTAAGTATCACTGCTAGCTTGTCTCTTTTTTCATTATGATGTCATTATTATATCAACTTCCTCAAAGTTTAATTTATTTAATATATACTCAGTTAACTATAAAGTTTGACTATTTTAAAAGTGCATATACCAATGCAACAACCACAGAAATAAAGATATAAAATTATGTCCATTACACCAAAGAGTGCCCAAGTCTTTCTTTGTAGTAAATCCCTCCCATCCTAGACATTATGCAACTGTCAATAAGAATTTCTTTTAACTTGATATCCAATAAAATTTTACAAGTGATAAAACAAAATCCTTGCCATGTTGTTAATCTTACAGATAAAGTTGTAGTTTTGCACAATTTTCTATGAAGTTACTTTGAGGTTATGTAGATATGGTATGAAGTTCATTCCCATTTACTAGGTTAGAAAAGTTTCCTTCTATTCCTCATTTGCTAGGAGTTTATATCATGAGTGGGTGGTAAATTTTGTCAAATGCTTTTTCTGTAGCTATAGAGATGGGCACATGGTTTTTCTCACTTATTCTTTTCATATTTTAAAAATATGTTTGCATTGTTCAAATAAATCCCATAGAATCTTTCCATGTATTTCTGGCTTTAAGTAGCTAATTTTTTATTGAAGATATTTGCATCTATGTTTATGAGGGACGTAAGTTTATATTTTTACTTTTCTTTAATGCCGTGGTTTGATTTTGACATTGGCATGATGCTGACCTTATAAAATAAGTTCAGAAGTGTTCCCACTACTCTGCAGTTTGACAGAGTTTGATTATATTTGGTTTTATTTCTTCCTTAAATGTTTGATAAAATTCATCAATGAAATAATCTATTTGGAGTTTTCCTTGTAGAAAGGGTTTTAATATAAATTTTATTTATTTTTAATAGAATTTATTGGGGTGATATTGGTTCACAAAATGATACAGATATCAAGTGTTCAACTCAAAAAAACATCATCACTACACTGCCTTGTGCACCCATCACCTAAAGCAAAGTCTCTTTCCATTCCCATTTATTCCCCCTTTACCCACCTCCACCTAGCCCCACCCCCATTTCCCTCTTGCTATCACCACACTCCTGTCTGTGTCACGGTTATATATGTGTGCATGTGTGTGTGGGTTGCTTAATCCCTTCACCTTCTGTCATTTAGCCCCCCAACCCTCTTCCCCTCTTAGAGCTGTTAGTTTGTTCTATGTATCCATGTCTCGGTTTCTATTTTGTTCATCAGTTTATTTGGTTCATTAGATTCCACATATAAGTGAGAAGATATCGTATTTGTCTTTCTCTGCATGGCTTACCTCCTTTAGCATAATAACCTCTAAGGTGACATTGTTTGTTCTCAACAGTCCCTATTTGCCTATGCCTAGGTCTCTCTTAATATGTTTGTCTTTCCCCCACATACTTTTCTCTTGTTTATTAGTAAAAATAGAATCAATTATTTTGTAGTTGAGTAAGGAGAGTTTTATGTTGCAATGATCCACCACAGCCCTAGACAGACTGTGTCCTTAAATTTCAGGATTGGAACTTTATGAGAATTCCTGACCTCTGCATGAGCCTTTTATTTGTAATCTTGTACAGGGGAGTTTTCTGCACCTCTTCCCAGTGGTATTGTTAATGAACAAAAATGAGGGTGTGGCTGCCTGCCGCCACTAAAAGCAAACACTCAAGGCAGAGGCTGGTGAGAAAGGAAAGAGGTTCTTATTCAGGTGCTGAATGATCTGGAAGAATGGGGGACTCCCCTTTTCAAAGCTGATCTCCTCCTCAAAACCCAGAGAAAACCCAGCTATTCTCTGCAAGACCAAAACAAAAGAGAGTGCCCAGAGTTCATGCTCCATTTTAAAGTGTCATCCTTTGGAGCCTGTGGCAGTTGCTGTGTGGTTGTCCACGTAGCTTAGTTTGTTCCCAGCTGCTGCCTAGCTGCAGGCTCCCTTCTGAAGGCTGCATATGGAGCCAGCATGGTAACAGCTATGAGGCTGCTAGAGCCACAAGGTTGCATGCTCCTGGATATGGGAACGCATGAACACAGCAGCAAATGCTTCACCAAGTTGGTGAGAGATAGACAGACTCTCTCCTGGAGGGTCACGTGACTGATAAGGCCACATGGCCCATGGAGAAGACAGGCCAGTGCACTGCCTGAATGCATGTTCCAATCAGTGAGCAATGAGTAAGAGGGCATTTCTTTGTTCCCCTAGGACTATATTTGTTTTGGGTGTGGGACGAGCCAGGCACTGTATCAGAATGACCAATTAACTTCCTAAACTTTCATGCATTTTGACTGTGTCCACCTCCCAACCAATCCCTTCTTTCCCCAGGCTAAGCTGGCATCCTCTCTTTGGCCCATTACCGCTCCCTGCCACCACTCTGACCTCTGGCTCATGTGCCTGCTTTCCCCTGTTCCCATCCCCAATCTGGTACCAGGAGGGAATAGGAAAGCTTTTTTCTCTATGCAATTATCTTAATGGAGCATGTGCTCCATTAAGAACAACCTCCTTCTGCCACCTTGACTGAGGTCAGGGAGACTCTCCTGGTGCTCCATCAACTCTGAGCCTCTCATGCCCTAGTCCCTGCTTGCAGCAAGTTGCCCACACTCAGGACCAACTGATGGAGAGTAACCAAACCAATAGCTTAAGTTAAGGGATTCTGGAAACCCCACATGGCCTCTCAGGCAGCACCAAGGGAGCAGGGAAAGCAGGGCATCTGCAGCCACGAGCAGGACCTCTGCATTAGGCACATGCTCAGTTATCCAGGCAATGCGGCCTTACACTCTGGCGACCTGGCACTGGCCTGCAAAACTCAATGTCCTTGCCATGGCCACGGGTGGTTCTGAAGGCGTTATTCGAACTTCTGATCTTCGTCTCCAAAGAACGTGGCTTGATGCACATGCAGCTCCCAGGTTCCACTCCCGTGGCCTAGCTCTCCCCCAGCAACCCCTCCTGTTACCTGCCCTCAGCCTTCTCCCGACAGTCCAGATAGGCTGTCTTTCTGTGACTAGTAGCCATGCAGGATCCAGGACTCAAGAGAGGGTTTCCTGCCCCTTCCAGAAGCAAAAAGTTTCCCTCATCAACAAAGAATCTTCAGCTGTATCTACCTCTCCCACAGAGATAAACTGCTTTTCTTTCTCTTCCCACCCTCCCACAAAAGCAAATTGTTTGCCTGGAATCAGAATGACAGAGGATATTCTAACCCTCCCAGGGTCCCCATTTTCCTAGGACCACTAGCCAGCAAATTAAGGCTTTTACTTCTTATAAGAGGAGGCCTCACCGAAGTAAGCAGGGCTTTGTGCCTGACGCATAGACACAAATACATACCATACCTGCACCACTGCATGGACCTTCGTTTTCCTGCACTGCCTTTAATATTTCCCCTGAGCAACTGGCAGGTGTCCGTGGAAAAGAACTTCAAATGGAATTGAAATTCCTTGTGTTCCCAAATATTTCAAATTGGCATACTAGCTCCTACCTGGCATTTAAGGGTTTGTCAAAATTTTAGCTGATTTATTCTTACCCTCTCATATATAGTGGCCACCTCTTTCTCCCATGCTCTGCCAAAGGTCAAAGACGGTGTGCCCCATCTCTCCTTGAAGTAGCCTATTACTCTTTGGAATTCAGTATACTTGTGACCTCAAATCTCTACTAAGGTCAGAAGAAATAATGATTTTGTATACTTTCTGCCTTTTTTCCTTGTTACAGCGGGAACAAAGTTGAATATTTTAAGGTGAAATGGAACTCCAAAGACTATTTTTAATATTTAAGGAACAAGCAATTTATAATAGCACTAACTTTTAAAGCTGGAAAGAAAATAATTCCAAGTTCTCGATTTGTCTCCAAGCTCATTAATTGAATTTGATAATTGTCAGTATGTAAATATAAATAGTTCATTGAGGTTTATATAAATCCTGAAAAATTGTAAGCTGTTACATGGCTGTTTAAAAACATTATTATTTACCACAGCTAAATGAAGGTGGGGGGAACATTATGCTGTTTTGTTTTGTTCTCCAGAAAGATGCAGAGAAGAAACTTTTGCCATCAAATTTCTCCAATGTTCCAAATACTTTTAAGGTAAGCTTAATATCTAAAGTATTAGAATGCTGCTCCTTCAGAGTCTATGACACATCAAATATTTTCTAATATAAGCTTGGAAAATGTCACACTAAATAACAGCACAGCATGATTATCAGTTTTCATTAACTCAAAGTATCACAATAGTCTGGCACAATTTTTAGCATAAATACTTAATGTGAGTAGGATAAATAAATACACCTACACATAACACAATTACTCAGGTAATCATTTTCCTTACTCACAGCCACTGGGTAGAAAAAGGCTTCCTCAGAAGTTCTCTTGGTCAATAAGCATGATTTTCCTTCTTCCACCTGGTCCAGGTGACAATCTATCCAATGTCGGGGATCTATTTCAAGACCGCAGCTCCAGCTCTGACCCTTACCCTACCTACACCAACTAGTTTGGGTCTAAAATGACAACATTTGTTTCACGGTGAGCAGTAAAACCAATCTTGAAACCGGAGGGCCTAAAACCAATCTGATTATTTCCCCCAGGCCAGGCCATGGCAACATCAGTGTTGAAGCTACTCCTCTGGCCTAATTTTCCTCTTCAAATTTCTGTCACCCTGATATTTATCTTACCTTTGTTTTAGGCTAAGTTATATATTTATATGTTTTTCTTATAGTTCATCTAGTGTTCATATGACTGTGTGCTGTGTGTGTGTGTGTGTGTGTGTGTGTATGTGTGTGTTCTCGGTACAACAGTTGCTGGAGCTACATCCCTATTGCATTTCCACATGTCGGAAGGCCATGTCTACTTGGTTGTCCCCTTGGAAGTTCGAGCTGTATGCATAACAATCCCAGCAAAATTTTTACTATTTGCCTGTGTTTTCTGCCATAATTAATGGCACCTTGTATTCTTGGTTTCCCAAATATGAAGTTTTGCTATCATTTAAATCCAACCTTTCTCTTGGTCCTCACATCCAATTAATCACAAAGTTAATTCTACTATTGCAATATTTCACTTAACATATTATAGCAATCTTAATGATATATGCATTAATGAATACAAGATTTATGTTTCAGAGTATTTTGAGGATTAAATGAGATAAATAGATCAGATAAGAAGCACTGCATGATGAGTGAGAAGTAAATTAGCTACCAAGTGACACAAGTCAACCCAGCTTTCGCATTTCAATTAGTAACATTTTATGGATTTCCACAAATTCACCTTTGTCACATATACACTTAGAATATATGAATGAAAACTAAACCTAGCAACTCATATGTACCATTCCCATAGTTTTTATGAGTTTTTAATTTTTATATATTAGTTATCTGGGTATGTACAGTGTTTGATTTCTCTTATCAATGGAAAAACCTGTGTGAATAGATAAAAATTAATTAAACAAAAATTAATTAACTAAAATTGAATCCATATTCTCTGTCAAGCATTTTTTCATATTTGGTCTTATTAAATCATTACAACAACCCTATAACTATTACTATTCTAATTTTACAGAAGAGAGAACTCAGGCCTTGAAGTTAAATAATTTGATAATGGTCACCAGTAAAAATGAGGCAGAACCACGAGTTTAACACACGTAGCTTGGTAGCAAGAGGAATATAGAGTTTACTATACTCTTCTGAGTATATTCACAGTATATTAATAATTGAGTTGCTCTCCTTCGTGAAAATTCAGTTTGTCAAGTTCAGTCTCAAAGGTGGCACCCCAAACTAAATTTCTGTTCAGACTATATACATAGAAAACGTGGTGGAACTTTTACCTTTCTAGCTGTAATGAAGTACATCTTCTGGCAGCCGTGTCACAATGTTGATTCATAGTGAGGTCAAACAAATAAAACAGCCAACTTATTATCATGTGAGTTACTTAGAAAATTTTCTTCCCTGTGTTTTAATTGAGTATTTTTATTTTCTCAGTCTGTGAAAGACAAAATGAATCTCAATTAAATTGCATCTTCTTACTTTTAGTTCATTGAGTGTGTTTTCCTTTTTGGAATTCTGATTGTGTCTTTCACAGTATTAATTAGCTATTCTTCCTAGGTTTTTGCTATCCATTTTCAGTGCTTATAAAATCATATAAGAGATACTGGCTACATATTAAAAATTGTTTTTCCACAAATAAAACAAAATGGTATTCCCTTAATATAACACTCATTTTGTGTTTATGTATTGATAATATTTTGTTAAGAAAATGACCTAAAATGAGTAGAGTTAAAATCTTTGGGGATTGTAAATCCTTGTCTCTGTGTAAAAAAAAAAAAAGGAAAAACATTTTCCCACCTGTTTTGAAATAAGCTGTTCTAATCCTCCATTGGAACAACTGTGATGCTGGTGACAGAGTTGACATGTTTTGAAAAACTACCAGCACTAATGACACAGAGAGAGTACACAAAAAGATTATAGAATGAAAGGTGAGTAGCACAAAATTAAAGAAGAAAAATATCCCTCAACATAGTTGCTGATGATATATGGAAAAGAATAAGGTCAAAATACAGCAGATTTTTTAAAAGAAATCTAATTGAAGGACATGTGAAAAATGAGAAATAAAAAGAGCAATGATTTTTTACCTGAAAAGTATATAATTTTATTAACCAATGCCACCCCAATAAATTCAATTAAAAAAGAAACTCTCACCCACGGACAAGGACAGCGGTGGGGAACGCAAGATTGAACGTGGGAGAGGGAAGGTGGGCAGGAGAGGGGAGAGCAATGGAGGAAAAATGGGGACAACTGTAATTGAACAAGAGCAAAAATTTTTTTTAAGGAAGCTCTTAGAACTGTGGCCATGACACCTATGCATAACTATCTTAAGTGCAGCCAGTAATTTTGATATTAAGAAGAGCTGGTCACTACTGTGGTCTGTACTTGTCTGACCATAAGTAGTGACCAGCTCTTCTTAACATCAAAATAATTTTTTGAAACCTCAGTTGCTTCTAGGATAGGACAATCAAATGATTACCAAATACTCCAACACCAAACTTCATTGTTCCAAGTTTGTTCTTGATGCTGTGAATATGAGTTTTAATAAATTGCTCTCCTGTACACTACTTACAAAAACAGATGCACTCTGAAACTCTTTATGGGTCTGCTGTCAGTGGTGTTGTTTCCAAAGTATTTTACAAAAACCAGATATTCTCTCTTTCCTCATCCATTTTTCTCTCCCTCTCCCTCCCTCTCTTCTTTCCTTCTCCCTCACTCCTTCCTCCTCTCCCATTTTATTTCAGATAATATGAAATTAGAGTTAGAGCTTATATGTATAATCGTAATAGTCCTACTTTTGAGCATTTGCTCAATGCAAATTTTAGCTCAGGCCATCAGATAGAGTCTTGAAAATCCCTGTATAGAGGAACAACAATATTTTATTCCATTTCCATTTCATGGAAAACTAATTAGTGTAAAGATAAATTAGTGTCTTCTCAATATTAATAATCTATAAGATATGACTCTTTTTTTCTACAGAAAAATGTGGAAAATATAATTGAAGATGTTAAAAATATATGCAGTGTTCTGGGATCTGTGGAGACGAAGCAAATTACAGATGCTGTAGGTGAACTGAAACTAATTCTACAGCGAAAATCAGAGGTAAATATATTCATTTATTGCACAGAAATTATTTTCTCTGAGTTCAATAATTAGTTAAAGAAACTGCCTTCAGTGCTAACTATTAGATATATGTTTGTGTGTGTGTGTGCACATATATTTCAATCATTTGGGGATAATGGAAACTTGACTCTATTATACAAAGGAATTTAATTAAATTAAAAGGAAATTTATTACATTTTTTAAGTTTGTAACAACAATATGTTCTCCAAGTGAGGCTGAAATCAATCCCACAATCTACCTAGATTAATATGCTTATATAATAATGTTCACAGGCCAGTGCATGTTACAGACTATCAATCAGCTCTCACGTGCACTAGTATATGCAGGTATGAGTGTCCCTGACTGCATGGTCAAGCACATGTGTAGAAAAGATCAGGGTTTGTGGCATTTTTTGCTGAATTTGCAATGCACACTGCTTCTATGTCCCATGTCCTGTAATGCTTTCCTGGCTTCTTTTCTTTCAGTTTAAAAAAAATGAGATTTACATGATTTATTTTTTTAAGCTCAGAAATCTGATGTAGTATGATTATTGTCCAGGAAAAAAAAAAGGAAATCTGGTCCTATGAATCGATTCAATCTTATTGTTAATTTAGCAAGGGATTAAACAGAAAGATATTATGATTATAATGATTATGATAATAACAATAACAAGTACTTGATAGTACATTGCAATAATAAAATGGTTTCACTAATAATATTAAGTTTTATTTTGTTTCAGTTCTTCCTCATAGCATGCTACAGAGTAGCTATTTTAATTTTCATTTCATTATTAAAATCTGATGTTTATACTGCTGTGTATAGAGTGTTAGTAAGTAGCATAATAGAGATTTGAATCCAGGCCCCTACACACATTCCAGTACGTGTGAAACTTCATAGAAGAGAGTGATTACCTGCATCCTTACTTGCATGGGAAGGAACACCAGAGATTATATAACATGAAATATATGAGCCTTGAAATTTCAAAAAGATTAAATTAGGAAGAGGACAACTATATTAATACATATATTAATGTATCATTGGGCTTATTGTTTCAAATTGAAGATTATTAAAAAATCAGTAATTTCTTAAAGTTAAACTTTCTATGAATGTTTTTGTGGTTAGCTAATAATAATTAGTATAGAAATTTAAATTCTTTATTAGCATACATGAACACTAACAGGGATGACTTTGAGAAGCAATGGAGTCACATCACCAAAAGATTTTCAAGATAAACATTTATTAAAAACTAAAAACGCAAAGCAATAATCAAAATTTAAATAATATTTTCAATAAATACCAAAATTCAATTTCTGAGATAGACATGTGTTTATTTCCTTAAATTTTTATTAGTGGGGAAATATCTACTCTTGTACTTTCCAATTATAGAAGAAAATGAAATAACTGGGTAATCTCCAAAACTGTTTTCATCCATGGTTTTCACAAATGATATCAAGGTAATAAATCTGATGTGAACATATCTAATCTAATGATATTTTTTCTATCCTGAGTCAGAGTAAGAAAATTATACTATAGTCTTGAAAAGCCTATCACCAATATCTTTTAAAAATATGTTGATAAACTCAGAAATTAAGAATTATATAATGTTAAGAAAAACCTTCCAATAACTGAAGTTAAGTCAGGATAACAAGATAATGAGAATTTACTATCAACAAAAAATACTTAGTTTCCCTTCAGTTATCACATATTAAAGACATTACAAGCACCTAAAGCAGATATTAAAATACTAAGAGCTTAGGGTTATGCAAACATGATTTGAATTCAGGATCTACTACTTTCTAGATGAAAATCCTTTAGAAAATTCATTCATTTATCTGAGTTTTAGTTTTAATCATCTCTAAAACAGAAAAATAAGAAAAATTTTCAGAGTCCTTGTGAATATTAAAAATAATGTTAATTTCTTATGAAATATGTATTAGAAATAATGTTAATAATTAAAGTAAGGTAAAATAATATTAATAATAGTAATCTAGAAGACAGTGTCCTGATTGAGAATCATCATTATTAGTGTTGGTAGTGGGGATGGTGCTGGCGGTAGTTTTGGAGAATCTTTCCTATGTGGCCAAGATGGTGGTAATTCACCACTTAAGTCTCCATTATCTCAAGGCCATTGATAGCCACCAGCCTCATGACTAATGTGAGAGAGGAGTAGACCAGATGTACGAATGTGAACACATGCCTTCCCATCTGGTGAGATCAGTTGGTTGTTCATCCATTTTTATGTCCAGCTCTCAGTGAATCCACAGAAACAAACAACTGATCAAAAAATGAGGAAAATCTAATTTTAGGTTGAAGCAATTCAATAATGTTAAAGTATTACTAGATAAAAAAGTTTTACCTTTAAAACATTCATTTTCTGAAACTTTATGAAGGAATACAAATGAAAATTTTCTCTGAAATATCAAATTTTCAATATACCTGAAGCCAAAAGAATCCTTCAAGGAGAAACTGGGTATTTCCTAGGAAAGCTATGAATAATGATAATTCTCAAGGAAAGATCATACTCACATTTTACATTTCTTATATACTTTGAGCACTAAATTGTATGTGATTATTCATGCATAGAAATGAAGAAAAGAATTGAAAATTAACAGTTTTATTTCAGACATGTCAATGACAAAAATCAATAGTTCAATATCCCCTAATAAACATATCCTACTTGCTGTGAGCACACTTTAAAAGTTTGCTTATGCTACATCACCTTCATTCAGATCGTTTATTCATCTCTTTTTCCATCCTACTGTAACTATTAGCACACCTACATAAGAATGTTGGTGCAAATAGTAAGCACATTTTACAGAATTTGTACATTAACCAACTGCAGGTAACATCATAGTAGTTCAGTCTACCCGCCCACCATGAACCAAGATGAAAGAAATACTGAGGCAGACAAGTCTTCTGCCAACAAAGTTAAACTTGAGAAGCTTTCCTTTCTTGTGTCTGCATTTATTTTTTTTTGTCAACTTGCAAGGGACTATTTCCTGCCACACAGGGAAGTAATTGGATATTTATTAAATGTAAGTTTTGGCAAGATGATGAATTATATCACAAATGTAGTTGTACTTTTTTTCATGCTCACATTCAGCACTGGGAACAATTTTTCATCCTTCAAAATCATATTCCAGAAGCTCACATAATATATTTTCATTAAATGCTCATACAATAAATGAACCATAAAGTAAAAATATATGGCCTTACACACAGTCTGTAGGTGGATGTCATGGTGATTTTAAAATACCAGTTTTTGTTTATGAATAAATTTAATTCTCATTAAGTCAGGCTAATGTGGATGGGGTAGAGCTCTTACGAGGGGTGATCCCCAAAAAACTGGAGGGTAGGCCCCTTGTAGTACAGGCTTCTCCCACTAGATGTGTTCTAGAAACCCATCTGTATCAGTGTTCCAGCTGGTGTTGTTGCGAGAGGGTGCATTCAACTTCCGTGAATTTTCTTTGAAGACCCTTTCAATGCTGGGTGATTCCCGAGCCCACCTGCCCACACCACCCTAGTGCTGAGCAGATTTTGAGCAACAGGGGCATGTCACCCTTATGCCGCTGTCCCTGTTCACCCAGTAGCACCCCCAGTGACTTTTTTTGGTTTCCCCTGCCACCAAAAAAAAAGAGTCCTTAAAGGGAAATATTTTATTAATGTGGAAGAGGTGAAACAAAAAAATGGCAGAAGCACTGAAAAACTGACAAGTTCAAAAACTGTTTTGGGCAGTGGAAAAAGACATCTCGATAGATGTATTATATCAAATGAAGAGTAATATGAAGGCAACTGAAGTTTAAGGAAGAATACACAATATTTTATAAATATATTCCAGGTTTTTTGGGCCCCCCCCCCTTGTATGTGGACTTGATAGGACTAGTGGTTGAAATTATGTTCAGGTGAAATATTTTACCCAAGAGAAATGCTTCTGAAAAGGTTCATGCGAATAATGCTTTTAAGTGGGAAGTTGTATATAAATGTAATTATATTTTAAACATGATAGAAGTGTTTCTCTCTAAAGAATACTGCAGCCTGTTTCTAATTATAGGAGAAATTGGGCTTATAGAAATTATTCCCTAGTTTGTTTATTTGAGAAATTGGGCTTTTCATTAATTGAATTTACTAAAAAGCAAACTTGTCAAAGCAAATTTTTTCTCAAAATTTAGTGTCATTTAAAATATACCTTATTACAAAATTGAATTTGCTTTTGGACTGACACCTTATTTTTGTGCATCTGTGAGCCACCTTGTATAGTTTTCATGATAATGAAGTTATAACCAGCAAATCCTAAACCACTAAAATAATCTAAGCCTCCAACAAAAATAACACTAAAAAGCCAATGAATATAAAAATAAACAAAACTATCATACTAATAAATGTAAACTTAAATGACAACAAAAATAAACTTCAGATAATATTTTAAAAATTTAGCATATAGTCTCAAGGGTTTTAAAATCATTTTAATCTCCTGAATATAAAGGAAAAAATGAAACTACAAGTGAATTTTTATGACTTTATCTGCTTTCATCCAGCTGTCTTTTTGGTGCAGCCCAGAACTTGTGCTAATAATGAGAATTAAATCCACTGAACAGAAAGAATTAGAAATGCACTTATATCAACATACTAGACAAGCTGTGGAAGGAGGATTGAGCTTAGACAATGGAGAACTGTTCTAATAATAGTAAAAGGCTGAGCATATTCTAAAAATTTCTCTTTAAAAAATCAAGTAACTCAGAATGTTTATTACAACAACCATTCAGGCTTTTCATACAATTTAGATTTCCTCCATTTATAAGAAACATTTACACATGACACCAAGAAATACTCTGTCTTCGTAATTCCAGAGAAGTTTCAGTATCTAGATTTTGGATATTATCAGTTTGTCTGTTTTGTGAATTCGTTTTCTGAATAACAAGTGTACCTTGCACCTATTTTCTTTTTTAGAATTTTCATGAAGGCTTGGAGACTTCAACAAAAGGTAAAACATACACATACTCAGATTTTTTTTAAAACTTATATTACCAAAATAATTTTTTTTCAACTTTTCATCTAAATATTATGGTAACACAAACACACACACAATTTTGTGAGGAAAAATGTGTTGCTAACACTCTTTTTACTGAAGAACATGCTTAACTTGTGAATGAATAACTGTCCATACTCTCTAAACTTTTAGCCTGACATTTTTAAAAAGTGGGAAAAATCAAAGAGATATATAACTATTAAAGAAATACTGAAAATAGCCTTATGACCATTTCAAGAAACTAAAATTTTCTTTAGCTAATTATATTTTGATGTAAAAATGCTAGGAAAGTAGCAGATGTCTTTCTTCAAAGTCACTGATATCAAATTTGAAGTCAGGCTCTTACCTGTCAGCCTGGCTATCATCAATAAGTCAGCAAATAATAAGTGCTGGTGAGGATGTAGAGAAAGGGGAACCCTTATGTATTGTTGGTGGGGATGCAGATTGGTGCAACCACTGTGGGAAGCTGTATGGAGATACCTCAAAAAATGAAAAATGAATCTTCCTTTTGACCCAGCAATCCCACTTCTGAGAAATATATCTGAAGGAACCCAAAACATTAATTCAAAAGAACATAAACACCACTATGTTCATTGCAGCATGATTTACAATCGCCAATGTATGGAAGCAACCCAAGTGTCAATCAGTAGATGAGTGGATAAAACAACAATGGGACATTTACAGAATGGAATATATACTACTTGGCCATAAAAAAGAAAAAAATTTTTCCCTTTAGGGCAGTATGAATGGACCTGGAGAACATTATGCTAAGTGAAATAAGCCAGTCAGAGAAAGACAAATACCATATGATTTCACTCATATGTGGAATCTAATGAACAAATTGAACTAATAAGAGAAATAGAGACAGACTCATGGAGAGCAGGCTTACAACTCTTGGAGGTGGGGGTTAGGATGAAGAGATTGAACAAAAAAGAAAAAGGATTCATGGATATGGACAACAGTGTGATAATTGTGGGGGGAGTATAAGGATTAATGGAAAAAATAGAATAAAAATTTAAAAAAATAAATAAAAAATACAATATTCAAAATTTTAAAAAGTCAGGCTCTCAAAGACCAATCTACCATAAGTAGGAAAATTTGGTTCTGTAAAAGAAGTGTTAAAAGAAGCTCTAAACTTATAAAATTGCAAGGCACAAGAGGACTTTGCTTTTGTAGAAAATAGTAGATGTGTGATAGTGTGACACAGAGAAAGGAGTTTGTTTTTGGGAATCAGGCAGAAATGGTTTTGAATTTCAACTCTGCAACTTTTTGACTTTATGATCTTAGAGAATTAAACTCTGTGAGCTTCAGTTTTCCCAATATTCATTCAAGGTATGATAATATTTAATATGCAGGGTATGGTCAGGGCTGTTCTTGTTTATTCAGGGAGAAGTTACTTATGAACACTGTGTATCTTTAAGGAAACTGTCTGAGTTGCAGATATTGAACTAACACTCTTGGATTCAGAGGTGACAATGAAGTGCAAATAATAACCCTGACCTGTATTCCATACTTCTAATCATTTTCAATGGAAAGTTATGTATGAAGAGATATCCTTTTAACTCCAATTCCCACCACTTGAAAGAAGACATTCAGTTCTTATTTAAAGAACTGTCATTGCATATCACAGAGGAAAATGGGATGACAGAGCAAATGGAGAAATAAACCTGTGCTAGTGAAAAAATCCCCATTCCAGGCATTCACAAAACTCCAAAATGCTATATAAGAAGGGAAGGGGGTGAAACATCCCCAACAATGTTACAAACACAAAGTCCAAGTGACAGAACATGGAGTGAACAAGCCAGAGGTATGCCTACAGGGAACTGGTCCTTTCTTTCTTTCCATTAGGAATGGTGGAATAAAATCCCTTCATTCATCCATTCACTAAGGGATTGGAATATGAGATCCCATAAAACTGCACAGAAGCATTCCCAGAGACCCATATTCTATGCTGTCATCATAGATTCTAAGGAATGCATTTTTAATTGTATAAATATTGTCATTGTTTCTTTATTTCATGATACTATAACATTTTTTCCAAAGTAAAATCAGGAATGACAAACATTATTTCTCTCTACCTCACTATAAAGCCCAGTATCTCGAGTCCTTAATACATTTCTCATAATGTTTGAAATACATTCTTCATCCAGAATGCTGGAAGTAAACCGTAACGCATAAGCACACATCTCTATACACCTAGAAAAGCAAATGATAACCAACAATTGTACATCTGGGCCAACAAGTTAAAGAGTAAAGTTTGAGTAATTATCAAAACAATTAAGGGTCACCAAAATATATGCTGGGGCTTGAATTAATAAGACCTCTGACCTAAATTTATCATTTCTTATATATGTGTTCATTTGCTCAAGAGTGAATGTTATTAACAAGAAGTTTGTGTTTCTGCATCAGAGTACCGCCAGTACCATTTGGTGACCAGGAAACAAGATGTTCCTATACACTTATTATCCTCTGCTGCCTGTTGTTCAGGAGAATCACTGCTGGTTGGTCTCCAGAGGGTGATGAGGCTTCTTTTAGGGCCATTTTGTGCTGCTTTACTCTTCTGTCTCATTAATTGCTACTGCTGATTTCTCAGAGAGTTTTAATTAGAGCTCTTTCCCTGAGCTTATCCCTTTGGGCTGTTTCAACAAAGGGCACAATTTTAGAAATACAGCAAATAAGTGGAACTTGGTCATCTAATAAATTTCATACAAAATTATGAATACCTAAGTGAATAATAGCATATGTTGAACACAACAAAAATGTTTAGTTATGGACAGACCTGCCCGAGGGACAGGATGTGTGGGAAGAAGTCCAGGCTGAAGCTGACCTTTCTCCTGAGGATCCAAATGCCTGAGCAGACCACTCGACGCTGCAGACCACTGGAGGGGAAAGCAAGCTCTCTGTAGTGATTGCTTTTCAAAACAACTAGAAACCAAAAAGCAACCAATGTTTCAGGAACGATTTATGAGGAAGTGACTGTGTTTGAATCAACAGCAGTAATGTGTGATTCACTGGGCACATGCTGGGATCAAATCACAGCACATTTGAAGAACAGAATTTCTAGTGATGTGTTTACTTGTTCTCTCAACATCTCTGCTGGCCCGGGGGGGTCCGTCACCTGTCACAGTGCTCTGGCGGTTGCAGTGGGGGTGGGGAATACCCCTTGAGCAGGCAGGGAGACGAGATTCTGTGGCTGAGCCACTGGCATGGGTGGCGCCGTGAGCCCCAAGCTGGGTATTTGGGATCCCAATTGGGACAGGCCAGAACCCCAGTTCCTGATCAGCCCGCAGAAGAGGAGCCTAGATCTGGAGAAATGGTGTCCAGGTTGGACCACCGCAAAGCCAAGGCCGCCAGGCCCACCTTCCTCATCAGGCGCTCCCAGTACCAGTTGGACACTTCCCCAGAAAAGGACTACACTATGATGCCCAAGTCTGCAACTTGTAAACTTGAATTGAAGTTTAATGAAATCGTCCCTTCTTCCATGTCTCCAGCCACAGAAATCCCCGACAAAATCAGCAAACACCTGTCAGGCAAGCTGCAAAGTCAGCGCAGGAACCTGCTGAGGGAAAGCACACCCTTCGAGGCCGCCGAGCTGGATGGAGGCTGTGCGGTGTTACGAAGAGGGGGCCCAATCGGCACCGACTTTCGAAACTACATCCCTCAAGGGGACACAGAGCAACTGAGCAGCAGAAGCACGGTTACAAGATCTTCCTGTGCCACGTCAGTGTCATCCACTAACCTAAATCATCTGCTTGTTTGCCAGTTCCCTCAAGGAGGTTGCTCCGCCCCTCCCTCGACTTTGGCCCCAATGTTCCCTGGTGGATTGGGAGCGCATGGTACCCTCAGGGACAGGCGGTTCAGGCGCGTGACAAAATGTCCCACCCTTCCTCTTTAGCCCTGTGCCCAGCTCCTCCCATGTGGGAGCCACTAAGCACGTCTTACCCTTTGTCTTCCCCAGGTTATGCGGTAATTACATCTCCTTTCTCTAAAATGAGGTGGAAGAAAAGTAGAAACATCTAAAATGTGCAATTTTGGTACTTTTATCTGGCCCAGGATGGAAAAGGGGAGCATATAAATCAGATCAGACTGATGCCTTTAGCATGGTTTTCTTCCATACTCTCATGTCCCAGCACAAGACTGGGTCCGAGCAGGCCCGCTTCAAGGACTGGACAAGGAGGACAGGAGGGTCCACACTGAGGGGTCCGTGGTCCTGACCACGGCTGGCCGTGTGATTCCCGCCCCCTTTTGATTCTGTCAGCAAACCCAGTCAGTCCGGAGGAAAAAGGAGGAGAAAGAGGAAACCAGGCATTTCATTCATAACAGTTTGTTTCATACATTCTTTTCGTTTCTTAAAACCCATTTGTTAAATATTTGTCAAGTGAAGACTTTTGAGCTTTTATATTTGAGTTTATTCTCCCTGTTACTTTTGAACTACGACAGTAGTTGAATATTAAAGCAAAAATAATTAAAAGTAGTAAATGTATTAAAGATTATAATCCTGCACTCATTCACTACTGCATGTAAAAATGCCAGTATTGAATGCTATTCGCTGGCCACACTAAGAAGTTTGACACTGAACATTAAGATAACGTTCCCCACCCTCATAAGCTTCTCCAGTGTAATGGCACCATCTTTCCTCATTTGGATCAAAGACCACCCGATCTGCCTGGTACATTTCATCAGTCTCCTATGTCCTTCCTCTCCAGCAGGAATTTTTCCAGCAAAAAGAGTTTATCAGGAGAAAGAAAGTCATTTGAAGAAAAGTTTATCTTATAGTCCTTAATTAAGTGACCCTTTTCATATAATCAACGTGCCTAAAATTGGCTTCCTTCATTTAGCACATATTTTAAAACTTTTAGCCCCTCTACTTCGTCTTTTATTTTATTTTATTTTTATTTTTCTTCCTTCATGATACTTCAAGTCACTTTTAAGAAAAATCAATAGGCTTCTTTTAAATAACCAGTGATAAAACTCTAGTAAGACTTTGTTTTGATTTTGGGTAGATTTAGTAAACATCATAAATCTTTCACAAATAAGCTTTAAATAACGTATTTCTGATTCCAGCCATGTACTATTACCATTCTCTTTTTATAGGTACATAAGGTATATTATATGATTAGTGTTTAGTTAATGGTAAAGAGCATAGTATAATCAAGTTTATTATGATTAACTTCTAAATAGAATTTGTTTGAATAAATTAAAAGCCATGCAGCAAACATGTTGCTTGTCTGCAAATTTAATTCTAAACAATAATAACCTAAAACAAAACTATTGCAAATTACAGTAGATAAAATGCCAAGTTAATAATCCACAGCTCTGATTTCTGATTAAAGGCATCCAAAATTTCCATAACTAAAGATATGATATCTTATTGATTATCTACACTTCTAGCAGTTAATCCAGGCTGCATACAGAGGCACAGATGGCTAATTGGCTTCAGTTGGTGGAGGGTCATTTTAATTAAATTTTACTTAAATTTTATTATACAAATTTTCAGTTATAATAGATAGCTAATGATAAATATGGTCCTTCACAGATGACCTGATTTCTATCATTTTCCCCCTAGGATTGATAGAAAAAGTGACAACTGAACTATCCACATCCATCTACCAGCTAATTGATGTCTATTGCAGCAGCTTTTATGCAGATTTCCAACCTCTAAATGCACCTGATAGTGTTTCCTGTGTACATCCTGGGCTCCATTCCCACCTTAGCTTCACAGTGTATGCAGCTCACAATATTCCAGAAACCTGGATGCATAGGTGAGTGGTGGTGAAGTTTTCACCAAAGTGTTAATTAATACTTACATGGCTTCTAATTAGAGTATAATTTGTCTTGTTCTTAGTTGCAAAGGCAAATATTTCATCAAATTTTGAAATGTAATCAGCAGAGATTTATCCTGATTCTTAAAATTATTTTTAAAAACTTTATTGCTAATGCATATTCTCCATATTAAAAATGACTGCATATTGTCAATATATCATTATGGAAACAGAAAATGCTCATCCTACTTAGCAACTGTCTTAAAATTTTTCTTTCATCATGTTTGAATCTAAATGACTAATACCAATTTATAGAACACAGAGAAAGAGAGCAAGAGAGGAGGAAGAAACAGAGAGAGAGGGAAAAAGAGAAAAAGAGTATGCATACAGGAAGATGGAAAGTAATTAAAAACACATAATAAAAATCACTCTGATCTTCATGAAGTATTGAATAATAAATATTTTGTGAAATTACTACCTTGATAAAGTGGGAATTAGCCAAGTTTTTTGAGTTACAATAGAAATTAAGTACAATTACACATGGAGTATGACCAGTATTTAGGTTGACTATATTAGGTGAGCATTTTCTTGAATAACATAATTAAAGTAATGCTATAATGTTTTAATTCCTTGTGTTGAGTCCATAAACTAATACAGATTAAATCAATTAAAGTTTATAAAGAATAGTAATTTATTTATTTTTTAAAAGATGTTATTTATTTATTTTTAGAGAGATGGGAAGGGATGGAGAAAGAGATGGAAAGAAACACGTGAGAGACACATAGATCAGGTACCTCTCACATGCCCCCGCACTGGGGACTTGGCCCACAACCCAGGCATATGCCCTGACTGGGAATCACGCCGACAACCTTTCAGTTCCTTTCAGTTCATAGGCTGGCACTCAATCCATTGAGCCACATCAGCCAGGGCAGAGAATAGTAATTTATTAATGGATGCATTGTACCTACTACATTTAGTATCTCAAAGAGAAGCTACAAGAAGCAATTTTTGTAAAAAACAAATAATTGTTGTAGTGACCTGTATTTTTACAAATAACTGAAATGTATACATATTTATAGAGTCAATTAAAGAGGAATTTTTATATTTTTGTGTGAAAAAAACACTACCTTCTTTCTTTCTCTCTGTCCACATTTCTTTAGAACCTATGAGATGATGATTGTTTTATGCTTTTCCTCTTTCTTAATTTCATAACAAATTTTAAAGAGTTGATGTACAATATAATAAATTACTACTATGAATTTTCTGTTATAATTTTTAAACATTAACATTTAATTTAATTCACATGGGAAAACTATGTAGTTAGATAAACACAGATCAAGAAAGCTATATGCATAGAGCATGGTGTGACAGTTTTATTTTTTTCTATTGTTTTTCTCTTCTCTGTTTTATTTATTTCAGTTCCAATTTTTAATATTTCCTTCCTTTTACTAACTTTGGGCTTAGTTTGTTCTTTTTCTGGTTGCTTGCATGTAAAGCTGGGTTCTTTATTTGTGATCTTTCTTCTCTAATGTAGGCACTTACTGCTATAAACTTTTTAGTACTGTTTTCTTTTCATCCCATAAATTTTGTATGCTGTGTGTTCATTATCATCTGTCTAAAGATATTTTCTAATTTCCCTTTTGAGTTTTTATTTGATACACTGGTTATTTGAAAATGTTTTTATTAATTTGTGAATTTTCTGGTTTTATTTCTGCTGTTGATTTCTAGTTTCATTCTATTTTGGTCAGAAGATGTACTTGGTGTGATTTCAATCTCTTCAGATTTATGAAGTCTTGCTTTTTGACCTAACATGTGATCTATACTGGAGAATGTTTCATGTGCACTGGAGAGGATTATGTATTCTTTTGCTGTTGGGTGGAATGTCCCATATACATTTTTTAGGTTCATTTGGTCTATACTATTGTCCAAGCCTTCTGTTTCCTTATTGAGCTTCTTTTGGTTCTATCCATTAGACCAGGGGTGTCCAAACCGTGGCCCATGATGGCTATGAATGTGGCCTAACACAAATTCGTGTATTTTCTTAAAACCTCAGGAGACTTTTTTTGTGATTATGTGTCACAATGTCACATAAAATAAATGTACATACACTCTTGCTATTTGTACACATGTATGGCTTCAGTTTTATGGTGTTGTGTGGCTTCCAGTGTATCATCTTCCAAGCACAGACTGTAGAATTGATGCCATCAGATGTTACTGTGCTCATGGTGACTTAGTAAGGCAGCAATTAATGTTGCAACTACCACTGCAACGTTCAGCATTTAATGTTATTTAGAAGTCAGGTAAGCATTCTTTTTTGATTATTAAAGGTGCTTCCACTCCTCAGCTGTGCCTCACACATCTCCTGCCATGCTTTACAGTTGGCCCTCCTCCCTGCCCTGCATCGGCAGCTGAGGCGGCTGTGGAAGAGCCCACAGTGTTCACCATATTGAATCAATGTTGTGTTGTGTTGTGTGTGTGTGTTTTTTAGCTATAAAGCATTTTCATTTTCCTGTTGGCTTACGTATGCTGGAAGGAAGCTGTGCCAAGTGAGAAACTGCAGAAATATTCAAGTTAAAAAGTTGTTTTTTCCCTTGGTCAACTGGAACGAAATGTAAGTTTAATCTTTATTCTGGCAGGGTCACTTATCTCATAAAGATCAAAGAGGTTCTTTTATTTTTAAGTAAAATATGATTTTTAAAAATGTTGCCAGTTGATTTAAGTGATGTGATAAATATGCTAAGGCTAATAAATAACTGACTGTTTAACTCAAAAGACTGAAAGTCCATTAAAAACCTAGACAAGTGTCCAATCCACATCCCCTAAGTGATCGGAGGGGGAAATTCAAAAAATAAGAATTATTAATCATTCACAGATTGTGGATAAAAGGAATACCCTCTGTCTGGAGTTGGGAGGAGGTAGATTCAGATATAACAAAAAAGAAAGAAATTACCAACTTTGTAATCTCCATTTTCCCACAAAAGCCAATTACATACTTGTTTACACAATCAAAGTTTTTGACAATAATTATCTATGTATTTTGTAAACTTTCATCTAATTTGGGGTAACTGGCTCCTACTTCACCATTTTCTAGAGACTTATTATATCATTAAGGAGAAATACTTCCTTTATATCACCTATATCCTCCTCCTCTCTTCTACTTCTCCCACCTCAAGCTCTCACTTTACTCAGAATCAGAGGAGATGGCTCTTGCATAGTTAATGAATCTTTTTCTTGCAGTTCCTATAACACTGATCCACTCTTTCAGTCATTTCTCTGCATCTCCACTGAGAGCCAATTTTCTTTGCATCTCAAGTAGAAGAAAATGTCTTAGTTCACTTTCCGTCAGAACTTTCAGAAGGTCTGGCTTTCTTGGGAGATAGTTTGACTTCCAATATTGTACTTGCCTATTGATAAACTTTCAAAATTTCCAGAAGTCCTGTGATGGTGTTAGATAACACCATTTAACTCTTTTTAGTGTCATCTCAAAGGAGACATGTCATGAGACATAACATGTGGGTGTTCCCATCCCAAAGCAAATCCTCCTTATTCTAGGAACATGACAGCATTTGTCTCCCCTGCTTTGGTTAAGATTCCTAATTACTTTGACCACATACCTGACCTTCAATTACAATGATATTTCATTGCACAAGATCACTTTTGCTTGTAAAATTCTTCAGTGGTTTCCCAATTTCTATAAGGTAAGTATAACCTATTTAGCATAGCACACAAGACCCTCTGTGGTTTTGCCCCTGCCTATCTCTGAACCTTCATCTTTGAAGTTAGCCCTACTTTTGCTCCTGCCTGCAGCCAGCTCTGCATCTGATCTACTTACCCTAAATATGAACTGAGAAATTAGGCCTCTATTAAGGGTCTTACATCTGTCAAGAGTACAATGCCTTCATTATCCATCTTGGGTAGAGCTAACTTCCTTTCAAAACACTATTTCACCTGTTCTATAAACTCCTCTATTATTTGAAGACAATGGTCACCTTTCTGTTTGTTGATTGGTCTGAACCTCAAACTGCTCCCTTGTGGTCCTTTGCTGAATGTGTTTGTTTATATTTTGTTTGCTTCTGCTAAATAATAAAAAAAAGTCTGTTTTGTTTTTTATTTTTAAAAATTTTATTCTATACTTAGCAGCTTCGCACAACACCGGACAGAGTGAGACCAGTAAGTGTTGCCAGGCAAATGAATGTATTTTGTGTAATAAGTGACTCCTCAAAAATGCTATTAACCAACTCAATTACTAAAATTATTCTTCTTAATTAATTAAAACTTATTCCTGTTGGTTTAAAAAATCAGATTTATTTTCAAATTACAGCTATCTTCCATCATTTAAACAATTCAAGAGAAAAATCCAATTCTAAAGTCAATTTCAAAGAAAACAATCTCAAAATAAACTAAAAATCATTAGTGTTGTTAGAATAACTATATTGACATTATTTTTTTCTCTTCCTTTAAGACTTCCCAAGTATTATAGTTCCTGGAACAGTTTGTTTGATTTCATTAGTAGTTAGTTACTTCAACCCATAATTATTTCCCTTAAAAAGATTTATTTATCATTTTCTAGGTACCTATAGCATTCTTTATATATTTTATTAACATGTATATTTACCCTACATTTCATTACTGTATTGTAAAATTAAGGACAGAAGCTATGTTGCTTAATAATATGTGGCATAGATATTTCAACCATCACAGTATAACACCAAAATATATTATATCATCTCAACTTAACAACAAAAAAATACATAGGAGGAATTGTAATCTCCATTCTACAGATCTGTATATGTCTTTGTTAAAGATGATTAATTGACTTGCCCCAAGCTCCACAACGAATAAATGACAGAACTGATGCTCAGACCCACTCTGACTCCAAATCCAATGCTTTACTGTGACTTCCTTGCTGTTTCTTACAGCATATAAAATCTTAGGCAGAGCATTTATATTCTAAATATAGTTTTCATATCTTAAATTAAAAAACAAAATAAAACTCTAATCAATTGTTCCACCAACAGCCACCTCCCGTTTTTCCTCTGCGTCACAGGAAAATCCTTCCAAAGAGTTGTTTATATTCACTTTCTTCAATTTTTTTCTCTCCTCTAAAAAATATTCCAATCATGTTTTCATCACCTCTGCTCCTCTGAAATTGCCTATTAGAGTCACCAGTGACCTGCATAGCTAAGTCTAATGTTTGTTTCTCATTCTTCATCTCACATGATCTCTTAGGAATAGTTGTCACTGTTGATCCCGCCCTCCTACTTGAAATATGCTCTCCACTGGCTCCTACATTCTTTAAGCTTTCCTTCTCCATCTTCTTTTCTTCTCCCGGGCTGCTAATGATCTTAGCCCTTAAGTCTCTTATAATCAAATAGCTTTAAATGTCATCTATATACCAACAACTTCTAAATTTATTTCAGTAACCCAAGTGTCAGTCACAAACTCATTTACACACACAACATATCTAAGACTGAACTCTTGACTTTGCATCCCAAACTTGTTTGACCCATAGACGGCCACCCTGGATGATCAGTTCCAGTTGCCCTTTTGCAGGTCACATCCTTAACCAGAATCGCCTCCCCTCAGATACCATATCCAGGAAATCATACTGGCTGTCTCCTCAAAATATTTCCAAGATATGGCTTCTCATCACTTTCATTGGTCTAGACCACCATTCTCCCTCCCATGTAGTACCACAGTAGCCTTATACTAGCCTCCCTACTTCCCTTATACCTTTATAATCCTTTTCACACAGCATTAAAGTGACCTTTTAAAAAATACAAGTCAGACCATGTCATTATCTTGTTTAAAAATCCTGAAATGGCTTCCTGTTTCACCCAGACAAAAGTCAAAATCCTTACTCTCAGAAGAGAGTTCTAAAAAAATGTGACTTTTAAATCTCCTGTTTCATTATCAAAAAGTCTGATTTTAGGAAAACTATCTTACAAAGTAGGAAAAAAATGTTTAAAAAATTTAATGTTCTCTCAGTTTCCAATGGTACCATAAGGAAAACATATGGTTAAAACTTCAGGTCTGCACCAGCTGCTTGGATATTAAAAAAGCTATCTGCCTTCACTTATTGAATTGCCTCTTAAAGTATTTTTCTTCCTTTTTTTAGCTGAAAGTTTATTCCTTTGATTTTTCAATAGCCATGTAGAAGCTACAAAGAAAAGATTTCCCAGTGAATGTGAGATTATTCTGGCTTTAAAAATCAATATGTATTCAAAAAAATGAATAAATAACTATTTAGAAAGCATGTATTCTTACCCCAGAAAAATTTATTTTTATTAATAAAAAATGACAAAATGGAGAGAGGCAATAACTTATCTGCTATAAATTATTGAACTTTTTTGCCATTTTTAATATGAAAAGCCTACTAATATATAAAGTTATACATAAAGAAGTGTAACTCAATGGGGCAAAAGAACATTTTAGATTATTTGAGGCGTAAAGTGAATTTATAGCTTCCATTCTAGCACAGAAATATGAAAAATGAATAGAAAGCCAATTATAGGTAAATGAGAGAATATTAAAAAAATTGTTGTGTATTCCAAAGAATCATTAATATCTTAGGTTGATTTTAAGAGCTTCTTTCAAGCTGAGAAACATGCCCATATTATCTTAAATAAGTATTATGAGTATTAAATAATATGAAAGAAAAGACTTTTAGTTTTATCTTTCTAAACATGTAACAATTTAATTTTTATAATCTAAACTTTGCTAAACTTGAAAAATAGAATTTATTGATGAAATAATGGCTGATATAAAATTTGCCATTTCCATATATTGTGTTTTGCAATATTTATTCCACTTCATGGATAAGGGAAAACAAGGCTTGGAAAGGTTAAATTTATTGCTCAAGGAAGAACATTTTATTGGACATAGAGCCAGTATTTGAACACAGTTATATCCAGACCCAAACCTTGACTCATTCTCTCCATATACAGTTCACATAGTGACATCTCAGAGTTATTCTTAATGACATCATGCCATAAACTGCGTAGTTCAGTTAAAGGTATCCACTATGATATAATCTAGAAGCCTAAAACTCATCTTTAATCCTTCATTGTCCTATTCCACTAATATGCTATCAGTTAATTATTATTAATTTTACCTCTAAAATAGTTCTTCTGTCTTCGTCTTGTTAGTTGCTTTATTACCACTCTGGATCTGGACTTCTTCATCTCTGGGCATCTTGAAGAAAGGGATGTGTGCTTCCTCAAAATCAGTCATGGCCACTGGACTAAATGAACTCATCCTTATTCCTGAGGCTGGATGTTGTGCAGCCACTCATAAAAAAAGGGGTCACCAAGGTCTTATTTGACACCATGAGTAAGGACTGCTCCTTAGTATCCAGATTAGACAGCCAACTTTTAGTGTGAGAAGACACTTTTACCTGAGGCTTCAGCTGAGCCAACCTCAGTCAGCACCTTCCAATTGAATAATCGGCTTTGGTCATCATCAGTCCTCTAATAATCACCCATTGCTTAAACAAGTTGACATCAAAGTTCAGCTAGGAAATACAAGGCCAGTGGATTCTGTTCATATTCCTCATACCTACCACCATCAGATAGCATCCAACTGAAGCAGCCCCATTGCTATTCCAGTCACTTCTCTCTTTCTTCTTCCCATCCCTTGGTGAATCTGTTTCCCTGAGGCTTCCCCTATCTGCCTAACTCTTTTTGATTTGCCTACTTCTCTCTGTCATTCTCATCTACTAGTAAACATATTCTCCCATCTCAGTCTTTTGAAAAATATAGCTTTTATCTCCTTGTCTTACAAAGATCTCCTCTAAATACCATACTTATTTTAATGCTTTTGTAATAGAACCTTATCATTTCTATACAAATGAGATGACTCCAGAAAGGAAAGACCTTTCTCCCTGTCCACCCTTAGGGACTCCAGATCATCCTCTCAATTTTTTGTCAAAAGCCCTACTTAGAAATTATACCACCCAGGTTAACTATTCCCAGTCTTACAGTTTCATTTATAACCTTCTAGACATTCTTTTGTATGTCTTCATCACTTCAATACCCAAATTCAAGTTTTTCTCGCCATTACTAGTAATGTGTTTATTCTTATCTATTTTTTCTTTTATCTGTATCTACAATTTATCCAGAGTTTGAGTTTGGAGTTCTTTCACCTTGAAATACCCAGAAATTGTATGCCTATTTCATTTCAGCAATTACCACCCCCTAAATTCCTAGGATCTCAAAATAACCCAGGAGAGTCCACATTTAAAATTGTTATCAACTTTCTAACTTTTAACTCTCTTGATGAAATATTCCCTCTTGATACTAGGAAAAGGCTTGAATTCCTTTGCCAGGCATATGCAGTTCTGAAGCATTGTGACAACCACTTATTTTTCTAATTGCATACTTCATAACTTCCCCACGCTTGACCACATCTCTTGTTCTAGAAACAGTGAGCCACTCATTATTTATCGGCTACACTTAATCTTTTTATGCATATACACCCGTGTCCATGGACTTTTCTCCTCTTAGAATATTCATTTCTAGATCTCTACCTGATTATGACCAACTTACTCATTTTGAGTTATTTCCTGCCTTCCCCATTCTCTAATATAATGTTAACCATTCTTTCCTTTGTGCTTACAAAGGGTATATCCTCAAGTTATAGTAATTTTTTAAAATAAGCTCACATGTAAAAATTATTATTTTAACATTCCCCATTGACTATATAGCCAATCTCATCACTCTATATACTTCTATTATATTTCTGTTTTATAAGAGTAAACACAAAAGTTCAAGAGGATGCCTCAAATACTTATGAAAATATAGAGGGAGGTGGGGGAGGAGAGCAGGATAAAGTGGTGGTGGGAAGGTGAAGACAAATGTATTTGAACAAAAAATAAAAATTAAAAAAAATAAAATATCATTGTAATTGATAGTCTACTTTCTCTTATTTTAAGCATCAATTTTCCTCTTGAAATAAAGTCACTTCCAAGGGAATCCATGCTCACTATAAAACTATTTGGGATTAACTGTGCAACCAAAAATGCGGACTTTTTGGCCTGGAGTTCTTTTCCATTGTTTCCAAAAAAGTAAGTATATAATTTGTTATTAATACAGTTCCTGTCTCAATTAAAAAAAAAAAAAAACTCCCTGAAACTAAATATTTCACAGTGTATAACAATAAGAAAACCAAGAAGGTATTTTGTCCTAAAATTGAGGTAGCGCTATATAAATCATGATTATTGAAAGTGGGACTGAAAAGGAAAATGTAGAAATGGCCTTGAAAACAGGCCTCATGTTCAACTTGTCAACTAGATCGTTTGCAATGAGAAGGTATTGGCATGACACATTACAATTGTTTTTCCTTCCTTCACCAGCCAATCTCTCTGCATTTAGTACTTCAAATTTATTTAACTCAATGCTGTCATCTCGAAACTATGTAAATCATGGAATTCTGGTGTAAGTTTAATTACACAACATAACTCACTGGTTTACTGACCTTTTATTGACAAGAAGAAATATTTGTAACTTTAAGATGATATTTTTTCAGGAAAATAAGCCAACTATGAGGTCAGATATTTTATTAGAACTAATAATGACCATTGAAAATTAACTGATGATTTAACTGTATTTAGAACTATCAATACCTAAGATATCTGATAGTTAATTACATGATTTTCTATGCTGTTAAGGAAAAATGTTTCAAATAAATAAGCTCAGTTATTTTTCACATAGCAAGACTTATTTTAGAATTAAATTGTAAAATACAGGACCTTTAAATAACTAGAAACTGTGTTGTTAATATTGTTATAAGTAATGTTCTTGCCCCTGTTGTTTTAAAAATCTTTGGTAATAGAAATATGTTGAGAGAATTTTTACTAGTTTTTAATTCCCACATCTAGTCAATATAAATGTTATCATTAAAACAAATATCAAAAATATTTTAAATCGCCTCTATTGGATTAGTTTTGAACTGGTGTGCGTGCACATGTGCTTGCGCGTACGTGCGCGCGCTGCTCCACTGTTTGTGTTGATGCTATAGCCCATTGCCTGGTATGTGTTTCCTGAGGACAGGGAATGAATTTGTCTTTGCAATATCTATCCTCTAACATAGTACTTCTTATAAGCAGGTAATCATTAGAGGTTTGTTTACTAAATCGAATTGTAAAAAAAGTCAATTCCTATAGGATATTGAGAATGGGAATAAAATTTCAAAAGTCTGTAAGAAGCAGTTTTGTCCTAAAAGTAGTACCTACTGCTGTTGGCAGATATTTCAAAAGTCTGATTTGTGGGTTCAAACTTTCATTATTTTCTCACTAGGAGCAGCTATGCAGGTGCCCTCCTTTTCACGAAACCTTCTTTAAAGTTTCATCTGCTGTATTTGTAACGTCTGGCATGTTTATAGAATAATATTTCTAGTTATTCACTGAAACACATTCACCACTTTATTTCCTTCAATCATCTAACATACTACTTTGTACATAATAGGCAAGTAATATAGGTTAAATATATAAGAAAGTTTAGGATATTATTGTCTTTCAATCTAATCTTCAAGGCCTTTTTCTAGGTGGTACTAATAGTCAAACTACTGTTGTTCTGTCACATGCCACCTACCGCTGGTAAACATTTTATATGTACACGACCATAGACAGTGATCATCTTTAAGTAAGGCCATTTGGGACTGATATTAGGTGACGTTTGCTGAGGAAAAATGTCAAAACTACATTTCCAAGAAAACCATATATAATGAAAATCAGAATATCTGCCTCTCTTCTGGGCTAACCAATTTAAAGGAATTCTGTTTTTTTAAGACTTCAGAAATCCATCATTGGGGCAAGTGGGGAGATGCCATGGCTCCCACTCTGCTCATCACTCCAAGTTATGGAAAGTCCAGCCCAAAACGTTTGATGCAGGTATTTCCAGATTATAGCAAGCAAGTTACTTAATTTTATTTTCTTTCATAGAATGACCCTTGCCCATGAACATTTGGTATTAAATCTGTCATTTATTACAGTTTGAACTGCCCATACCTAGCCATATGGAATTTTAATGATCACTTATATATTTTTTCCAACATATATACAACCAAAAAATAATACAAAATTAAAGGCTTCCTATCTCTTTGTGGTTCCCAGAAGTGGGTTTCAGAAGAACCAGTGGTTATTAAACTCAGATGTATCAGTTATGGGTACATCGAGAATGTCTACAAATAAATCTAAACTTTGACACTTTCAAGCATAAAATCTCACCTTCAAGCCTATAAAAAATATGTCACAAGTACAAAAGTAAAATTTTGACAACAGAAGTTCTATAATCCTCTCTTTTCCAGCAGAACTTCTGTTGAATCTATATTGTATTCACAATGCCTTCTCACGAATAAGAAAGTGTTATTTTCACCTCAACAATTTTTGCAAGCTGCCTTTTCTACTTAAATTCAAAACAAATAGTGTAGTAGTTACTTAGCATTTCTAAATTATGGTAAATTCCTTCAATGCAGATATGCTCAGCCCTGAATGCATAGTCTCCTGGGGAGACCATCAACACTCTTCCGTCATAATTCTGCTGCTCATCTTCCTTATCCTCATATTTTCTGTTCCATACAGATGTCTAGGGAAACTCATTCTCTCCACCATGCTTGCAATATCTCAATAGATGTTTAAGTGCAGTCCATTATCAGAGAGTAAGTTAGCTAATATCAAACACACTGGGAGTGTAAAGAATGGTGCCCAACATCTTTTCCTCCTTGCATTGCCTCAGAGTGTAGATTATTTCAGCCTCGGTTTGACAGCTAGAAATTGATTCTTCTGCGCCATTTTTGTTTGATGCGCCCCCTCACACACATACTTAAATCAAGTGTTCTGACTTCATTCTGCTCCATATGCCTCAGGGTTAAGGCCATGGTGACTATTGATCCAGACTTCACCCAAAGGGAAAAATGACAAATACTGACATTTATTCTTGAGTCACCTCTTCCTTTGTAGAAATCAGCTTAGATCACTCAATTTTTCAGAGTGAAGCATGGCCAAGACATATAAATATAGTAAGGCTCTAACTATAACTCGTTCCACAACTCAGATGCAAAGAAAAATGCCATTAATATATCACACTTTTCTTCATGACCTCCTACCCTGTAACTAATGAGGAGGATAAAACTGTTCAATGATGACAAAAATAATTAGTCAATTCATTCATTTAAATAGTCCTTTTAGAAGTATGCGGTCTCTTTGGAATGAAATGCTTAGTCATTCAGATATCCACCTGACATACTGATTCTCTTCCTCAAATGATATCTGGATATACAGAATCAGAAAAGAAACAAATTCTTGGGCCTGGTGACTTGACCTCTGGTGTCCAAATTGAAAGCACTTTTGAAGCTGTGGCCATTCGTTACAGCTAGTGCAACTGGTGACTGGGGTTCTCCCAGCTTGAGCAGGGCTTGCGGACCCACTCCCTGGGTAAGGTGGGCTCCTGCAGGTGCTGTAGACCTACCTGAGGTTTACCTACAACTCTCATTCGGCCTCGTGTTATCCTCACTCTTATCACAAAGGCCCCTTATCCCTCCCAGAGGAACCCCCACTTTTGGAAAGCCTCTCACTCATATATCTTTAGTTTTTTCTAGATCCCATCTTTTCTATACAGAGACCAAAGGAGCCCAACAAAGCTAAGTTCAGGAGGACCTTCTGCCTGTTTGCCTCTTGGTCCCAAGTTTAAGATCATGCCAGAAATTGTTCAGGTACAGCTCAAGAGGTGATCTCCTTCCAGTATCTGCATTACAAAGTGCAAGTTGTCCTGACTCACTTCTCTAACACTGCTCCCCATCTGTCTTCCAGAACAGGGGAAACAGGAGCATCTGTGTCTTTGCCATGCTCACTCTGTTCCCTCTTTGTCTTCTGTTTCCCTCCATCCCAAATTGCCAGAAAGTGGTGGTTTCTTCTTTACCACATTCTCCATCCAATATGCCACATCCTCCTTCCTCATTCCTGTTAACCTTGTAATATGGACAGGAATACTTTCTATAAATGCTGTAGAGAACATGAACATCTGAGCCCTCTAAGTTTGGTGTTAGACCTTCTCATTCTTCCTTCTGCATTGATTGAAACTAACCCAAAACTTTTCCCAAGCAAATGGACACTTCAGACCATTTTGGGGAAGGTTGTAAGCTCCAAAAGGCAAAAAGAAAATCACAGTAGTACTGTTTTAATTTTTACCCCATTAAGCTATTCTTAGCTTGCTAATACTGGACCTCTGGTAAAATTATACCAAAACAAACAGACAAAAGCTTTCTCAGGATGATGGAGAGATAGAACAAAAGAATAGACTCAAAATTCATTATGCTAAAAGAATATTCTCTGATTATATAAAAATATCTGCCCAATAATGTTTACAAATTATACTCCCATAAGCAGATACTTTCTAACAATATATTTGGATACAAAAAATAAACAAAATAGGCCTCAGAAAACTAAAGGCCTGAAGAAACCTTTATTTGCTGAATTTTTCAATATATTTTACATAGTGTCTGTTAAATGGCAACATGGAATTCTATGTTGTTTTCAGAAAGACTCATCTGATGCCTTGAAATTCTTTATAAACTTAAATTTAATTGTATTCCCTTTCTACATTTTTAATTTGGTATGGTAAAGTCAAAAGCTGTTCTCAGTGATCATTGGAACAGTTTGCCAATAATTGAATTCATACATACAGCCAGGTGTAGCTTTCTTTTTAATTCCTGCAAGGATCTGTGGATTTGGATGTTACTGAAGTTGTTAAAACCACGTGTGAATTCTTCCTGTTTAAAATCTTTCCAGTGTGCACTCTCATTTACTATGGTAATTTATAATATATTTTCAAAGATTCAGAATATGAATATTCTCTCTTATTTATGCATAAAGAATTTCTTCTGTGAGGTCCCACAACTATTTTGATTCTGCAGATCATATACTAATTTAAATATTTTTTCTATAAATTTAGAGCACATATCTTTATAGATGCTCAGGGAATTTAGTCATTCTGTGGAGCAAAAAAACATGTTCTGTAGAGTTAACCATCGTGAAAACAACTTTGTCGTGTGGAAAATAAATGTAGATATCTATGAACGTAGCCATGCATGTAGGGTATTATAAATGAACTATTAATCAATACCTAAGCTTACAGAATACGGTATTTCTCTTCTTGCTACTGACTGAAGCCACTACAATAGCTGATTATGTTTATATTACAAAAGAAAGTATTTATAGGTAATACATTTTCCTCATGAAGAGAATCCTGTCTGCATGTGTTTTCTTTGGCAGCAAACCCATTCGTGGGTCTATGCTATTCAGCATGACATCACAGAGCGAGCCTCCCATGGAAATGGTAGCTCCAGGGGTGTGGGACACAAGTCAGCCATCCCCAGCGACCTTGCAGGTGAGTGCCAGGCTACGAAATTAAAGTACACAAGTAAGCATTGATTGATAAGTAGCTTGTTGTCAATTACAGAAGTGATTTTCTTCTAAGATCACGCATTTTATTAGTCTTCTCTTCCTCCAGTCAATGGGATTTGTAAAATCTTTATGGCTTTTATTTTGTATTCAGTACTCTCAAAGTACTCTCTCCCTGCTTATGTATAGCAATATGAAGCCATTTTCCACCCAACATGAATGGAATGTTGCCATTAGTATATTCACTATGTGCATCCACTTTTTTTTTATTGTTTAAAATAACATCAGTGATTGGTATATGTTATTAACTTGGTACCTTACTCACACCTGCCTCTGTACTGTGTCATATTCCTTAAAATCTCTCCTATTGCACATTTCCTAAATGACCAGCAATTAGCTGAGTAGTCAGAGAGAAACTGCCACAAAATCCATCTATTATACTTGTTTTTTTCTTAAAACCTCTCTACTTTTTGTCATCATGAGTGAAAGGTGATAATGGTTTCAGGCTTTGGTTCTTACTGCTAAGAACTCCTCATTTGTTCATGACTGTAAGTGATGATATTGGTCAGATACATGAACCACAGCCATTCTGATACATGAAAATGCAAGGAATATAGACTTTCTCTCTATATAAAAAAAAGACTGGGAACTGCTTTCTGAGCAGTTCTCTCTGGAAAAGGATTTTTCAACTTCTGCACTACAGACATTTTGGATCATATAATTCTTTGTTCTGTGCATTTTAAGATATTTAGCAGCATCTCTGTCTTCTACCCACTAGATGGCAGTAGCACCTCCACAGTTAGGACAATCTGCCTTCAGGTACCGGCAAATGCCCTCTGGGGATATAACTGCCTTCAGGTGAAGATCCCTACTTCTAGAGGAAGCTAGTGGAATCTCTAGGCTTTTAAGTTTCTAGGAATAGGGTGAGCGATGTAACAGACAAAATTGAGCAAGATGAACAAGATGGTGAAAATGGAAAACAAAAGTAATGCTAATAGAAATGTGGCTTCCACTCCAAAAGATGGAGAATGTCCTCACCAGACAGTAGCCAAAGATCCACTTCTAAACTGTGGACACAAGGATAAGAAAGAGTAGTTGCTCAGGTTGGATCTTGAAACAGTCACAGACATTCAACAATCAGGCGTACTGCTTAGCAAATATTCCACTGTAACAGGACACCTACCTTTCTTTAAGAGAGTGAATGTATTCTAAGACTATTTCTTACCAGATACATACGACTTCAGCCTAACAAAAATCTTCCACATCTGATCATTGCCAGAGCTTTGTGGATATAAATTCATGATTATAGGGCTCTTTAGTGGCAGTGCTGGGAGAGCAGTAAGGGACACTATGGGATGAGACTCTCTTTTTAAAACTGTTTTCTAGAACACAGGTCCTGGTAAGTGGAATCTGAAAAAAAGTTTCAAGTATTTCACAGCAGCATAATTTCCAAGTAGACATCTGGAGCCATACTGAATTTATCTTACAAGAGGGGTGGAAGGCATGTAAATATTCAATACTATATGAAAAAAAGTTAGATCATTTGATTTTTACAACATAATTTCAAATGGTATAGACATAAAGAGAAAATTCTCAGAATAGTCTTAATTGGTGATGAAATATACAAAGTAAAATATGAGTTATTAAGCTATTAAAGTTAAAACCTTTAATAACCAGTATCACTCTAATTACATACAGCTAAATTTAGAGCAGAATTTTTAAACCTAAATATTATGAGATGGTGAGGAAATTAGAAGCAAGTTCTGCAATCAGTATTTGCATTAAGGAGTCAGTAAAAGTCTCAGAAAAAGACATGAGGCTGAGAATTAGGAAATCTGGATTCTAGACTTAGCTCTCTAGCAGAAAATTTTATAGCTGTGAACAAGTCACCCAACCTTCTATTTTTTCCTCTGTACAGTAAAAGAATAATACTATGCTTGTCTGAGTTCTTTCAGGTCTATACTTTTTTTAATTATCTTTATCAGATGGACAGTTACTGCCACACTGTAGCCAACTCAGTACGGTAACAGATATTTTATGTCCCCGAACCTGTTCCCTTCCAGTCCATCATTTTTGGAGGGTCCTATGGGTAATGTGCTGACTGGCAGCAGTGCATAGAATGAAGTAGATCTGGGCTCAGGAATGGAGACATTATTGCATGATACCATCAACCTGAGTCTGCCTCCAATCCCTGCCTTTCCTTCTATACAGTCTAGTAGAGTGGTTCTATCACAGTTGAAGAACTAAAAGCAGAGCTGTTGCAGTTAATGTTGCCCTCATTCTATTCTATATTTCTCTACTTCCTCACCTGCTCATTCATGTCTCATTCACTATATTCTGGCTAGTAAGTCCTCGTCACACTTAACTGTTGTCTGGTAACCCACTAATTCCTAGTTGCCAAATTCAGTGGTGGCTTCCAGCCCTCTTCGTACCGTCCTGCTCTATGATTGTTGGACCTGTGTATCTCTTCCCCGTCACAGATCACACTTCCCCTCTGGCTTTGGTGTTACTGCTCTTTTATGTTTCTCCTCAAACTTTTCTCTGCTCACCCTTTCTCTGTCTCTTTGCAGACTCCCCTTCTTCTGCAAGTCCTAACTGTTGACAGTTTTCAAGGGTTCCATCTGCTGCTCATTCCTATTCTTAGTACTATATTCTTAAAAAGCATTATGGAGACATAATTCATGTACCTTGCAATTCTTGCATGTAAAGTGTGCAAATCAGTGGTTTTTAATATTTTTACAAATATGTACAACTATTGCCACCATCAATTCTAAAACAGTTTTATCACTTCAAAAATAAATCTCATAACCTTTATCTTTCACTTTCTATTTGCCCATTTTTTCCAACTCTGAACACTTACTAATCTACTTTCTGTCTCTATTTATTCACCTATTCTGCACATTTTATATAAATAGTATCATACAATATGTGGCTTTTTTTGAGTGGCTTTTTCACGTAGCATAATGTTTCAATGTCCATCCATGTTGTAGCATCAGTATTCATTCCCTTTTTATTACTGAATAATAATATACTGTATAGATATACAATATTTGTCCATTTGTTAGTGTGAATTTATACTGTTCTCACTTTTTGGCTATTAAGAATAATACTGCTATGAACATTCATGTACAAGTCTGTGTGTGGACGTAAGTCTTTTTTCTTTTTTTAATCTTGGATGTATACCTAGCAGTGGAATTGCTGGGTCCTATTCATTTCTAAAGTTTTATTGATGGTATCTATGCAAGTTCATTCCTGAGTCTGGAGCTCGAATTCAGATTCCTTCACAAGCTTCAGATAAATACAACCACATACCTAGTGAAACTCCCACCTGATATTGTGCAAACAGCTTCAAAAACAACATAGTTCACACTGAGCTCACCTACCTACCTCTTAAAATTGCTTTACCCCCTTAATTATTTATCTCTGTCCATGTCCCCAAGTACACCTGTTTCTCCCTCTCTCTCTCTCCATTTCACACTCAGTCCACAGTATATCCTGCCAATTTACCTCCCATGCACCCTAAAAGTCCATCCTCCCCATTCCCCACATCATCTGTTCTAGGTTACAACCGTTTATCTGGTTTTCTTGCCTTTAGTTTTGTCATTCCCTAATGCCAACTCCCCAAGTGTGGTCCTTCCAAAACTTCACTGAATCTGCCACTCTCCTACTTGTACTTGTCCGTATCTCAGCACCACCTGGAGAATTAAGGCCAAGCTCTGATCACATGATCCCCTCCCATCATTTCTCTTGGAGCTTAAGTGTCACTCATTGTGTGACACTTAAGCTCCAGCAACTTTGAAAATGTTGTGGCTTCTGATTTGCACTGCCCTGTCTTTGCTTTATGTGCATTTATGAATACTGCTTTCCGCCTGCCATGTCCATTTCTTTCTCCCTTTACCATCCACTGTCCACCGCTCCTTTGACTTGGTTTGTATAATTGATATTCATCCTTTAAGATCCAGGCCCCTTCAACTAGGTATATCTTCTTTAGTCCCTCCTCTCTGCATCCCAAGTAGAGTTAAGTATCCTTCCCCTGTGTTCACATAATGACCAGTAAGTTTTTTATCAGTACATTTTATTATATATTTTTTTCTCAGTGACAGGGGATTTCTGAGAACATTGGCAGTATTTTATCCCACCATCTAGCACAGTACCTGGTATATAATATTTGTTAAATTAATAACATATGTCCAAACTTCTGATTGCTATACTAATCCAACACATACACACACACACACACACACACACACACACACACACACTCCTAAATTTAGTCCTTTGGTCTACCAACATTGAATTCTTCCATTTAAGTAAGTAGTCGGTTTCCTTAAATCACAGTCCTTACCTACTTAATTACCCAAAACATTTTACTTTACTTAACATCTTATAATGTGCTATCTTTCATTATTAGTGATGTTGGGGAAGGCAATAGCTTATTAGATTTTTAGAAATGTATACCAAAAACAAATATTGAAACAAATTTTAGAGGTTACAAAATGAAACTGCTCAAACTTTTTCACACAAATAAGAACCTTAGATTAAATTTTTCCAACTATAACTCACACAAGTCTACCTCATAATGTTCCTCAGTTTTTTCTGAGATCACAACCTAAAATAATTTAACAAAGAAAATAAATTCTGTAGAGTTTCTAGTATGAAAATGAAAAAAGTATGGTAACCTTAAGCAAATTTGTGGAGCACTAGAATGTTTAGCTCATTTATATAGTTTGAAAGTGTATTTTTAATTAACTGCTACATTATTTGCTAAAACCAGATTATCACTGAAATAGGGCAATGGGAAGCACATTGAGCCAGGAAAAAAGTAGAACTGTCTATAAATTCAAACTACAGAGCCAGTGCAAAAATATTCCATTGCTCATCTACTTGCAAAACTGGTCTTTACCAGAGAAGATTTCACTCTCATGTCTATAAACTGGTTCACAGACTTTCATGAAACAAGTGATTACATGAAAAACGTCTAATTACCATCTATAATTTTAATCATTTAATAATAGAAATATATTTTAATTCTTAAATGTATAAAGACTATAATTTCAACATTAAACAAAACCATATATTTAATTTTATGAAAAGTTTATATATTATCATTTTTCTCATTTTTCTCAGAAATTATAAATTACTATTTTATGCCAATTACATGAATAGTTGAGGATTTGCTCAATACCATGTATATTTAACTATCAAGTCCAAACCCTGATGATTCTTTAAAAGTTTATTTTTAAGTAATAAACAGCACAAAAGATACAGGAATTTTCCTTTCATTTCTACAAATCTAAGGAGAAGATTATTAAGTTAATAATGTATTTATCTTTTCAGTATATGGCAAACCATTTCTTTATTTCAGATTGACTTTCCAGCTACTGAGTGGGAGTATATGAAACCTGATTTTGAAGATAATAGAAGTAATCTTGAAGAACCACCAAAAGAGTGTTTAAAACATATTGCCAGACTTTCACAGAAACAGTCTCCCTTACTGTAAGTGACCCAGGTCTTGTCAGTCAGTGATGTCTGCTCTTAGTGACACCATCAGTCACGCTGGAAGTATTCATAACTTTAAAGAGTAAAAATAAATAAATAAAGAGTGAACCTTCCTTCATAATTTCTTTCATTTACTTAAGTGAAAACTGTGGAATAATCAATTAATTTTTAGTAGCTAAATTAATATTTTTGTCTTTTAAAGTTTATTTTTCTTGTGGTATTAAGCAACTTTAACTTTAGTCAAAGGAAAAATAAAAAAGATAGGAAATCATTCAGTTCAAACAAAAAAGCAGAGAATAATTAGATATATATCAGCATTTAACAGGGATAAACCATTGCTTAACCATCATTCAAGTGGGTATAAAATTGTTTTAGTAAACAGGAAAAAGCAAAATTTAATTATCTTAGCAGATTTTAAAATTACACAAATAAATCATGTTTTAATAGCACTAAATTATTGACTAAAGAGTGCTTTAATTTTGTCAAAACAGTAATTCTTTGAGTAAAACAAAAGCCCCATGAGGAACTATAAGGGAATTATGAACTTTGTCCTTATAACTTTGGCAATATCTAAGCTACAACTGATTGTGCTCATTAATAACATGCCAAAAATATAAAACTAAGAAAGTAGCTCTTTACATGTATACTGTGATAGATATGTAACATGATATGGTATTTTATTCAAAGAATGAGAAGCAACTTAAAGGTTTTGAACAGGGGAGTCATGTAATCGTAATAATTTTTTTAAGTAATCTCTTTGACCACAAGTTGAAGAATAGATTGGCAAGGAAGTAAGATTGGCAGCAAGCAGTACAGCAAGAAGTTAATGTGGTATTTTAGGTAAGAGGTCATGGTGGCTATAACTAAGGTGATGACAGTGGACATTGGAAGAAATAGTTAGATTTGAGAGGCATATCTGGAGGTTGAGAAGACATGACTTGATGATTAATAGTAATTCAGGGGAAAGCCTATTGAGAAACAAAGAAACCAATTAAGTCCACAGAGAATCCAAGTGTTTGAACTGATCAATGAGACAGATGTTAGAGGCATTTTCTGGAGAAAGAGTAAGTTTGGGCCATTCAAAACTGAGTTATTAAGTGTGATCAAGAGTTCTGTTTTGGGTAATCTTATTACTTCCCTGCTTTCTAATTTCAACTTGCATTGCTCTTTTCCCCATTCATGTCAAGACAATGATTTTAGTCTCCTTCATATACTTCAAATGTGCTGGTTCCTTTCCCATATCAAAAGATTTTTATTTGATATTTCCCCTACTAGAAATGCTCCTTCCTCAGTTCTTCATATGACTGAATCACATCATCCTGTAGGTCTTCACTTAAGTATAATCTTCTCAGATACACTAATATACTCAACATAAGGTAATTTCCAAAACATTATAATAAGTAAAAAAGCCATATGTAAGAGAGCATTTACTCTATGATTCCATTTGTGTGAAGTTCTAAAATAAGGGATATTAATATAGAGTGCAAGAAATCATACCAGCATTTGTCTCTGGTGGCATGATAATACTGTTTTATATCTCCATAAGATTTTGGTTTTTACCCAATGTATGCACCTATCAAAATGTACTCAACTGAATCTGTGCATTTCTTTCCATGTGAATTATGCTTCAGTGAAAGAAGTTAATATGAAAAAAAATCATTATTCAGGAATGAGTAAAAAGTAAATTTAATTAGAAGAAAATAGTTTTAGTAACTTAGTAGAATTTTGTTACTGATTTTTTCTTCTGTGGGTTTTCTGGTAGAGAAGATTGTGACAAAATAGGAAAGGAGCCCATACGTACCTTAAAAAAATGGTTATAATACAATTCCTTCACTTTGCAGATAAAGATGACTTTAAAAGAAGTTGTATATGTCTTATCTATTCATCTGCTGATGAACACTTGGGCTACTTCCATATCTTGGCGATTGTAAATAATGCTGCAATGAACATAGGGGTGCTTATGTTCTTTTGGGTTAGTGTTTTGGGTTTCTTTGGATAAATTCCCAGAAGCAGGATCACTGGTTGAAAAAGTAGATTCATTTTTAATTTTTTGAGGTATCTCAGATGAGTGGATAAAATGACTATGAAACATCTACACAATGGAATACTACTCAGCCATAAAAAAGAAGAAAATTTTACCCTTTGCAATAACTGTAAGGATAGACCTGGAGAAAATTAAGCTAAGTGAACTAAGCCAGTCAGAGAAAGACAAATACCACATAATTTCACTCATATGTGGAATCTAATGAACAAACTGAACTAACAAGTAAAATAGAGACAGACTCCTAGAGAGCAAGATGACATCTAAGGGGGGGGGGAGGGTGTTAGGAGGTGGAGGGACTGAGCAAAAAAGGAAAAAGGACTCATGGAAACAGACAACAGTGTGGTGACTGCAGGGGTGGGGAAGGCATAAGGGCACTAAATGGTAATGGAAAAGAATACAACAAAAAATGTAGGGGAAAAAGGAATGCAATGAGAAAACAAGCTGTCTGCAGCGCAGAAGAGAGCCCTCACCAGAACCTGACCATGCTGGCACCCTTCTCTCAGATTTCCAGAACTGTGAGAAAAACATTTCTCTTTTTTATAAGGCTGAAAAATAGAAGTTGTAGAGAAATACAAACTTTTAATATATTTAATATTTCTTATTACCATTCTTGGGAGTTTTAGCTACTCTGAGCTGAGCACCAGAAGGTCAGTTTGGTGGAGACAGTGTTTAAAAGCTTTCATTGTCATAGGAAAAATACTGTTTTTCAGTTGAACTCTGGTTCTGAGTTCTTCTGCAGGAGTATGAGCAAAACATAAGAAACTGTCAGTGAGTCAATAGCCCTAGTCCTAGATTTAGATCATCTGTTTGAGACCACTCTTAAGGGGGAAATACTTGGACACTTAAGGAAGTTGTATTCATTGGCATTTTAACTCTAAACTCACAGTGAACTCTGAGGATTTAAAGCCAGAGTCCAGGGATGAATTGAGATCTTTGTTTTTGAAACTTAGTCCAAAGAGTTTTCTGAACTCTGATGAAAATTGCTTTGAGGTAAAGGAATTCATCTTTAAAATATACCATTTCTTCACAGTCCCACTTGGGTCGAAGTTAATTTGTAAAAAAAGTAAATGCTTGCTCACTTCTCTTCTAAGGTAGTACATGTTGCTGGATTCAGATAAATTTTGTCTGCCCTAGAGAAGACAGAGATTTTGATCACTAAAATAACACTTTTTAAAAAGTGGCAAGGATATAGAAGAAGAAAAAAATAAGTGTGAACTATTTGAAGTAAACTTTTATGTTTAGTTTTTAGTTTTTTTTTCTATAAAAGAACAAAGTTAGTGGGAAATGAGCTGATGAAATAATCTATCAAACTGTTCCAAATGATAAAGGATTTGTTTTCCAAAATAAACTAAAATTAAATATAAAAAACTAGAGTAAGATTTTATACTGTGTGTTTACAGCAACCTTTGCTAGTACAGAAACCGCCAGTAAATTCCAGTTTCCAATCTGGTCTTGCAGACTCTCTGAAGAAAAGAGAAGATATTTATGGTTTTATCGCTTCTACTGCAATAATGAAAACTGCTCCCTTCCTCTGGTCCTGGGTAGTGCTCCTGGATGGGATGAAAGAACTGTTTCAGAAATGCATACCATTTTAAAAAGATGGAAATTTTCTCATCCTTTAGAGGCACTTGGACTTTTGACTTCCAGGTAAGAATTATGTACCAAACAAGATATAACTGATAAGAAAAATTTGTTTGAAGAGAAAAAAATATAGGACTATATAGATAGTATAGATAGTATTCAATAGATACTCTATTTGTTCCTAATTTAAATAGGTATGGATATTAAATTTTGGTAAATATAAACTATGAGTACAAATTTTAAACAAATCCAAACTGTGTCTTCTGTATTTAACTTAAAGTACAATTAATAACTATAGCTTCTTAAATGAAAATAGTCTTATTGTTCTTACAGAAACAACAAAAATGAAATGTGGAAAAATAAAATTATCTACTCCTCCTCCTCTCAAAAGAAAAAGGTTCTTAAAAATTGGAACTGTAACTTTTTTACTATTTAATTATGCAAAGTGTGACAAAATATCCTGTTTATAGTAACTGTACAATTAATATGTCAATTATAATTATAAGAATAAAAATAAAACTACCTCTTATATAACCTCCAGATATTTCCTCAAGAAAATGAGGGAAAAGGGAAAATTTACTGGCTGGGGGAGCAGAGGTTGGGGAATGATGTCTCCTTCTAGTTAAGGAAAAGTATGTGGGAACAAGTGGCTTCCTTGGCTTTTATTTTATGTTGAAAGACATGAAAAGATATTTTAAATCTGCACTGATAGTATCGGCTCACTAATGCCATGAAGAAAGTCTGCATTGTTGGTCCAGCAACACTGAAAGGAAAAGAAATCAACAGAGACAAGAGGGAAGTGGGGGCAGGGAAAGGGAAGGGAAGGGGAAAGTCAAGGAACATATAGCAAGGACTCATGGACAAAACCAAAGGGGAAGAGCTGAGGGAGGGAAAGTGGGAGGGGGCAAGGGAAAGAGGGGGGGGAAGGCAGAGACAAATGTATTTAAAAAGTAAATAAATTAATTAAAAAAAAAGAATAGAAATAAAGTTAAAAAAAAAAGAATAAAAAAAAAAAAAGTCTGCAATCTCTAAAGTCAGAGAAGATTTGCGGAACCCTCTTCTGAATTCTGAATGCTCTGCAGTAAGTTCTATTCTGAATTCTCTGCAGGAAGGAGAAAGATAAGGGAGAGTGACACAAAGGACTTTCAAACTGATTTATTTAGGTTTGTTTAAAAATTAGTGTCATTTATAAAACTTTTGAGGTGGGAAAGGGTTTTCTTTTCATATTATTTATGAGTTACTAGCTTCCTCTCAATCCTCTTAGGTCAAACTTCACAAATTTTCTTAGAATCCTACAGTTTTTGTACCTCTCACATTGGAGGTTTTCCTCAGTTTTATGGTTTCTTCCATTAATAAATGTGTGCCCAGATGCCCACTCTTCCTTGATAAATGACAGATACATGACAGACAATTGTATAGATGATAAATGATTGATAGATACATGAGTGGGTAAGCAAATGACAGCTGAGAAGGAAGGAAGGATGGGAGGGAGGGAAGAAGGGAGGGAGAAAAAGGAAAGAAGGGCAGAAGGGAGGGAAAGAGGGATGGAGAGAGGGAATGAGGAAGGAAAGACTTCTGTTAGTTGAGCTTGGAGCATTTTCCTTTATTATAAGGCTTCTCTGTGGATCCTAGAATTGACCATTTCTGCCTAGCAAAGTGCTTTATTACTTTATAAATTACTTGTATTGCAATGTGTTTACAAGCAATGTGTGAATGTGTAATTTTGCCCACATTAAACTAAGAGCTACTGAAGGCAAAATAGATGAACTTAGGTTTTCTGTTTCCTGAGGGCTCACTAAAACCTGGGACATAGTAATTACTCAATATTGAATCAATCACTTCGTAAAATACATAATTATTTGTTCCTTACCTTAAGATTTAAATTATATTATCTGTGGAAATCATCTATTACCTTTCTGACTCACATTACCTTGTACAGTTGAATGAATTAATAAGAGAATTATATGATAAGAAAATCAATTAAGAATTGACTGGTTTCATTGGAATCATTCATAGTTCATGCTTATATTTCAGGACCCTTCTGGAAAAGACAGGTTCTCATTTGTACCTTACCCCTAACTGCTTTTCCTGCTTTAGATATACAAGAAGAACCAAAATCTGCAATTCATTTTTTTTACTAAGTTCTAGTTTTTACTCAAGTAAGACTTAAAATATTAGCACAATTATTATTTTATCATTCTTGAACTCATTACATAATAAAAAGTTGGTTCAAAAGGTGAAGGTAACAATTTACAGAATAAGAGAAAGTTTAGACAAATCATATACCTGATAATGGAATTATATCCATAATATATAAATACTCTTTCAACCCAAGAACAAAAAGATGACTCAATTATTAAATGGTCAAAGGATCTGAATGGATGTTTCCCCAAAGAAATCTATTGTACAATGTCCAATAAATATGTAAAAGGATACATGACATCATCAACCACTAAGGAAATGTAAATGAAAACCACCATGACACAAATATAAACCCAAGATGGATAAAAGACTTAAATATAAGTCTCAACACCATAAAAGTCCTAGAGGAGAACATTGGCAGGAAACTCTCAGATATCCCATGCAGCAATTTTTTCACCAATATGTCTCCTAAAGCAAGGGACATAAAGGAAAGAATAAACAAGTGGGACCTCATCAAAATAAGAAGCTTCTGCATGGCTAAAGAAAACATCAGCAAAATGAAAAGGGAGCCAACCTCATGGGAAAATATATTTGCTAATGATACATCAGAGAGAGGTTTGATCTCCAAGATATATAAAGAACTCACTCGACTCCACCCCAAGAAGACAAATGATCCAATCAAAAAATGGGCAAAGGACCTGGGCAGATGCTTTTGCAAGGAAGAGATACAGAGGGCCCAGAGACATTGGAAAGGATGCTCAGCATCACTAGCCATCAGAGAAATGCAGTTCAAAACCACAATGAGGTACCACCTCACACCGGTCAGAATGGCCACCATAAACTGATCAACAAACAACAGGTGCTGGCGAGGCTGTGGAGAAAAGGGAACCCTAGTCCACTGTTGGTGGGAATGCAGACTGGTGCAGCCATTGCGGAAAGCGGTGTGGGATTTTCTCAAAAAGCTGAAAATGGAACTGCCTTTTGATCCAGTGATTCCCTTGCTGGGACTATACACCAAGAATCCCAAAATGCCAATTCAAAAGAACCTATGCACCCCAATGTTCATAGCAGCACAATTTACAATAGCCAAGTGTTAGAAGCATCCTAAATGCCTATCAGTAGATGATTGGATCAAAAAATGATGGTACATTTACACAATGGAATACTACACAGCAGAAAGAAAAAAAGAACTACTAAACTTCACAACAGCATGGATGGAACTTGAGAGCATTATGCTAAGCAAAATAAGCCAGGGGGCGAACGACAAATACCATATGATCTCACCTATAAGCGGAACCTAACCAACAATACAAAGATGCAAGGAAAATAAGACCAGCAACACTGAAAGGAAAGGAAACCAACAGAGACAAGAGGGAAGGAGAGGGGAGGGGCAGGGAAAAGGAAGGGAAAGGGCAAGTCAAGGAACATGTAGCAAGGACTCACGGACAAAACCAAAGGGGAAGGTTTGGTGGGGGGAGGGAGCAAGGGAAAGTGGTAGGGGGAAGGCAGAGACAAATGTATTTGAAAAAAATAAATAAGTAAAAAAAAAAACACCATGAGATAGCACTTCACACTCGATAAAATGGTTATAATAAAAAAGACAAATAATAAGTGTTGGTTAGAATGTAGAGAAATTGGAAATCTCATATATTGCTGATATAAATGTAAAATGAAAACAATTTTTAGTTTCTTAAATATTAAACTTTGCATTAGCATAATGACCCAACAGTAGCACACTTACTTACATACCCATGATAAATAAATAACATTTCCATTCAAACACTCATACATGAATGTTGAGAGCAGCATTATCCAAAAAGTAGAAACATCTCGAATGGGCATCAATTAATGAATGGATAAGTAAAATGTGGTATTTCATACAATAGGATATTATTTGATAATAGAAGGAATGAGTACTAATATATGTTACAAAACCAATGCACTTTGAAAACATCAAGCTAAATGAAAAAAGGAAGAGAGAACTGAGGCTTACAGGGTAAGTTGCCCAATGTGACACTAGTAAGTTTAGGAACTAGAATTAAATCCAGAGATTCACCTACATAAATATGGTAGCCTATTAACAAATTAAATATGTAAATAAAGCTACGCTAAAATAATTTTATTATCATAAAATTCAGTAGTTAACTATCTTATCATACTTGGATGTTTCTACTTCACTGTAACTCATTTTGTTTTTCTAGATAATCAGACTTTCAGAGGTTATAGGGACTGGTTGAAAGGTAGAGCAGCATTTATTGAGTGTTCAGTGAACTTAGTAGAAACTTGATTTATTTGCACGTTGGACAGTTTCTTATTATGAACCAAAGAAGGTCACTGAAAAGGTTAGAGTATTTCCATTGTATTCATCCTGTGACTCCCACTCTCAGTTTCACTGAACTATGAAAAATCTTGAGGACAAGTGCTTCCAGAAATGAACCTTTCTCCTTCTTTAAAATCAAAAGCTAACTCTTCTGAGAACAAACAGTATGTGCTTGTTAAGTAAGTTGTCAGAGTGATTTCTTCAGAGATCTGTATTTTTTTCTCCTTTGAATAGTCTATTTTTTCAATGGTTTAACCTTTTGAGAACTTATGTGCTCCATTTTTAGCTTGGAAAATTTTTAATTTTGCTGTTAACTTAATCCTCTCTGAAGATGCACCACCTCCTTTTAGTTTATTTTTAGCAAGAGACATGTTGAGATTTAATTTACCTAGTGTGGGCCGTAGGGTGTTAATATTTCCACTACTGACTGCCAGCAATATGTTCATCCAGTACTGATACTTCCACTAGAGATGGTGGCACTGTCAGGATATCCAAGACCAAGGGCTGAGGTCTGTGGTTCTTGGCAGATGGTTGCTATTTTCTTGAACCCTGATGAACAGGCACAACTATTCAACTGTTAATAACAAACAGAAATTACCCAAGG